ATCGACTAGTTGCAGCGATAGTTTGTGAGACACACTGCTCTGCTCCTAGGAAAAGGCTAGCCACGCGTGCGCAAGCGCTAATGAGCATAGAAGCCGAACTGGGCTGCTTAGGCTATCAAATAGCTTTCGCATTCAAGGCAGTCAATCCTTGATTCGACTATTAAGTACAATTGTGATTCATGCAACATTCGTATCACCTTCAAATCCCATTTTCTGGTAATCTGACAAGAACATGCAACAACACGAAAGCGACAAAAGAAAATTTGGCCACAGCACATAAAGTCTGGCTATAATTGGAACAGCTTGCATTTCGCACAAAATGCCGCATAAGAAATATGCCAGTACATTTACAGCACTACTAGCAAAGTGAATCCTACCAGTCTATTTGCGCAGATTAGGCACATTTGTGTTTGAACTCACGTTAACTTCCATGTATACTATCGGTCGGCTATTAAAGGTATAAGAATAAATGATTGACTTAAAAGAATTAGGATTTGCTAATTTAAAAGTGCGAGACGAACAGCATTTTGCCAATTGCTAAAACGGAACAGCTTTGAGTTTTGACAGTATTTCAAATGCGTGTATCAGAATGATGTTTTGCAGGCGTGTCGCAATTCATATTTGTGCAAAAAAGGCATGCTTGCTTTTGACCCAGTAATTTCTGCCCCATCTGGTTAGCATTTCAAGGACCGGGATTTCAACAGGCAAATTCCTCTTCAGGTATTTTTGAGTAGGGCCGATACCGGCAAACAAATTCGTGAAAGGGTTTATCTGATATATCCAACTTCTAAAGAGAGAATAACTTCAACAGGATTCCTTCACATAGTGTCGGAATATTCAAGGCTCCCTTATTACTCGTCGCTCATATCATCCAATCCAAGAGCAAACGAGTACCTTAACAGCCTTGTAATTAAGAGGTGGGCCGGGTCATCGTCTCGTTTTTAGTAGCACTATGTAGCGCGACAGAGATAATTTTGTGCAGCTTCTTGTCAGATAATTTCCACGTTTATTCGTTCCATCTTGGCCCAGGTATTTTCGCGTCGCCTAGGATCTGATACAGTTGCTTGATATTTCTTGGGGTTTCATTTTCTCGTTCCTAGACGTTCATCTGACATTTAACAATTTAATTATCTGTAATAATAGCCTTTTGTGAAACCAGGCTTTTATTACTTGTTTTCCTACTCTTATACCCTTCACTTGTCTTGCATGGTTAGTGCTACAGAATGTCGCGTCGCGGAGGTCGCTGGGGCATGAATTTTATTTCGGCCAGTGGTCCACAGTCACACTTGTCAATGAACAGTTTGCAGGCTGCTGAAATGACGGCTCAGGAGTTGCAAGATCGCTCCAATGACCCCTCTAAGGTTAGATCCTCCGCCTACCCACCACCACCCTCATTCGCGGGTGCTCCACCCAGGGCACAGACCTCATTTGCGCCTTCTTACAACCCTCAAAGGGCCAGTGGTGGCAGTTCCCGAGCATTTTCTCATCTGGGCAAGCGCCGCATGCAGGATGATGATGAGTAAGTTTGGTTGCTCTTCGTCCAGAAGTATTTTTTGGGGTTGCTGCTGCACCTACATATATTTGAATTGCCTTCCTAATTTTTTCATTGGTCCTGAGAACGATGTGTCTTTCTTGAATCAATTCATTTCTGACTCCCTTTTTGCGTAGGTGAAATCAACTGATATCTCGCATAGGTTGATTTAATTTAATACCCAAATTTTAACGCGCCCGTAAATGTCATCTTGAAGTTCTTTCGTGGTTATCTTAGTTTTATGACTATGCCCTTGGTATTGAATTCTTAATGCGTGCACTTGGGTGGAAATGCAACTTTGGCTTGCTAAATGATTTGCCTTACCTTCTCTCAGAATGAGTAATGCCAAGAGCACACATTTCATACTTCAGATATCTCTGTGAAAATTCTGCGTAATTTTGCTTCACCTAAGCCTCATTTCAGGTTTTTAATGCCACCCTCTCTAAAGTATTTTGCTACGAGGGTGGCCGAATTGGCTGAGAAATAGATATAGGGATGTGACATCGAAACGGCTCTATTAAATGGGTAATTCTTCTGTCAATGTAAATTTGGAAAATTCAGCGTGAAAGACGCACTTCAAATTAAGTGATGAATTAGTCCCACTACACTAATCGCCTCTTATTTATGCTCCATTCTAGGTCAAAATCGTGATGATTCCTTTGCAACATTGAAATTTCGCTAAGGTGCTTCTACTCAAAGGCCATAACATTTTTAAAAAAATGAAAAGACTGAATCATATACTCATTTGGGACTAAATAATGCAAGCATCGTTCCCTTGCTTCATCTTTCAAGCTCTTGTTAAAACTGCGCAACCTTGCTTAACTCAGATTATTTGCGTCGATTAGAATAGCAATCTACCCAATGAGTTTTCTGCCTCAGAGGATATATGAACTAAATACCAGTTTTAGCTAGTTTTTCCTTGGATTCGAGGTGTGTGATTTATATGAAAATTAAAGTAAATGAGTTAGTTATTCCCCGCTGAGACAGAATGATGGGAGAGCTTGTTTCGTTGGTTCTAAGGTAGTCTTCTTAACATTATTTTCGCGTATACTTGACGAAAATTGCTTAGATTATGTTACATGATGGCCTTTCTGAAACTGAGTTTATTGCCAAGCATGCAAACTTAATTGATTTTATTCTTTTGTATAGGTACTTTAACGACGATGAAGAGAAGGATGATGAGTTGGAATACCTGCCGGCTCCCGGAAGCCCTGCCGCACAGGGCGGTCGTGGAGGCGGTGAGACCGGAAGTCCTGCTGACAAGGCTGCTGACTCAGACGACTCCGATGATCCTTTGGACAAATTCATGCAGGGCATTGAGGCAAGCTTGTCTCTCAAAATGAGCGAAATTTAACATCCCATTATTTCCCCTTCATATCTGCATTGTTTTGTAGGAAGAAGTGGATAAATTGAAGTCAAACGATGGGAAGAAGAAGAAAGATGACAGCAAGAAAACGAAGAGGTGCTTTACTAGTTTTTTATTCGTCGCAGTTACTGGATTCACATCTCATTCATATTTGTTTGAAAGCAGAAATGTACGTGATGACATTGAACAGGAGGATGAAATGGAGGCGTATCTGCGTTTTATGGAGGAGAATCCCAATGTGGGTGTCTTTGGTGACGAGGATGAAATATATGAGTATGACGAGGAGGGAAACGTCATTTCGATGGAGAAGAAGGTATCATAAAGCACGCTTTTCCTTGATATACATTTTCCCGTTGATGAGCCCATTATGTGCAATTTTACCGACTTAATTTTCCTATTAGGTTGCCGATTGTCTTTAACGATTTTTGTTTTTTTGTTAGACCATAGATCCCTTGCCACCAATCGACCACTCTCTCATAAACTACACCCCATTCAGCAAGAACTTCTACATCCAGCACCCTGATATCGCAGCACTGAGCGAGACAGGTGTCATGGATTTGCTTAAGAAGTTAAATATTCGTCTGAGCGGCATCTCGCCTCCACGACCTGTTTGTTCTTTTGCCCACCTTAATTTGGATGGCGCACTAATGGAAGCCATCAGGCAGGCGGGCTATACGCAGCCTATGCCCATTCAGGCTGCTGCTGTGCCCGCCGCTCTATCGGGGCGCGACATTGTGGGCATCGCCAAGACCGGAAGTGGGAAAACTGTCGCCTTCCTCTGGCCGATGATCACTCACATCATGGCTCAGGTGTGCCTCACATCCAAGTACCGGAGAAAAGCGTTCTTATTGCTCGTCACTCGTAGTAGCAGTCCCATCACGAGAGACTGAAAGACCTGTGCAATCAATTGTCCACCTAAAGCAGGCATCGTTTTGTTACAGTACCCTAAGTCTGTCGCTGGAATCGTAAGGTAGTGGTGAAACCGAAACCTCTCATACTCTACATGGAACTCAAAAGCCCTATAAGTTTTTGATTTTACATAAGGTAGAAAAACATCTTTTAATTGTAATTTAGTTTTAATTATGGAAGGGAGGCGTGAAAGTGTTCCAAAGCACCCTCGGCTTGTAGTTATCAACCATTATGCACGGCTTGGTGCGTCTAGCGTCGAACCACTGTTTTCTATTCAAGACTAGACGTCTCTACTGTACCATTGCTGAAGGTAATAAGCATTTACTTGGACAGGTCTAAAACGGCTTTCCTTGTTTGTGTTTTAGCCGGAATTGAAGCTGGGAGATGGTCCTATTGGGATAGTGTGTGTGCCAACTCGCGAATTGGCCATTCAGATCTACACAGAGGCCAAAAAGCTGGCCAAACCCTACAACCTCAACGTGGTATGTGCCTATGGTGGTGGGAGCATGTGGGAGCAGCAGAAGGCTTGCGAGGTCGGCTGCGAAATCCTCATTTGTACACCGGTTAGTTGCCTCATTTGCTGCCTCAAAATAACCTCTTACCGCAGTCATATTGTCCCTTCAATGGAATTTTTTCCCCTTCAAGGGTCGCTTGATTGATCTAGTTAAGAAGAAGGCCACAAACTTACGTCGTGTAACATTCCTCGTTTTCGATGAAGCTGACAAGATGTTCAATCTGGGATTCGGTAACTATTAAATTTCAGCACATCTAAACTCCTCTTTTTGACTACTTATTACTCCTTCTTTTCAATTCCAGAACCACAAGTGAGGTCTATTGCTAATCATGTTCGTCCCGACAGACAAGGTAAATTTTCACTCTTAGTTATTATCTCGTATCCTCTTCCTTTTTTCGACACTAAAATATTTGGCTTGATCTTCCCTAGCTCTTCTCTTCAGTGCCACCTTCAAGAGCCGAATCGAGCGCTTGGCACGCGATATTCTCACTGATCCGGTTCGTATTGTGCAAGGCGAAGTTGGCGAGGTAATGATCAAAGCATTTATTCACTTTTCTATTTAGTTTCATATCTGATGATGCGTCCGTTTGAGGAGCGAATGTAGATGTTAGCTCTGCTATCGTAATAATGGATTACCAGTATTCTTTGTGTGGTTGGATGGATTACCGTTGCTAAATATGCAAGATTTACCTCTTTCTTTGTAGGCAAATGAAGATATCACTCAGATTATTGAGATTTTCAACAAGTGGGATGAAAAGTGGGACTGGCTTACGCGAAATGTGGTTCGTTTTACTGCAGGTTAGTAAATTTTTAAGAAAATGTTATAATTAGGGTCCTTCAACCAAAAATTTGATGTGCTAGTCTTCTCTTTTCTGTGAAACTTGCATCCATGCTTATTTGCGTTACACTGATCCCCAAATGTTATGTCAGATTTGTGACGCACGTCGCTAGTAATGGAATAGGGTTTATCACTACTGTGGAGGGGCGCTGGTAGTGGATCCCCATGATAATGGTGTTACGGCCGAATTGCAGGAGACTGAAAAGTTTCATCTGATTATAAGTGTATTTAAAACGCTAAAGTTTAGTAAAAGTCATTCCTTTTCGTGAGTGGATAACCATTTGATGCAATCTCAATGGGTAAAAATTTGCAAGATGTACCTCTCAGTGTCCGGTTTCTTCTGTGCACGGGGTTCTACTTTGAGTGCTGACATTCACGAGGTACTTGGGGTCAGCTCTTGACTAATACTAAGCGACATTTGACTAACACCTGCACATCTCCTTTTTCAGAGGGCAGCGTCTTGATCTTTGTGACGCGAAAGGCACATTGTGTTGAGGTGGTGGAGAAGTTGAAAGCGCGGGATATGAAGGTTCTCCTCCTTCATGGTGACATGCATCAGTCGGATCGCAACACTGTCATCCACAAATTCAAGCACAACGAGGCCCCCATCCTTGTTGCCACTGATGTCGCCTGTAAGTCTGCCATCCCTTATATTCACTCCTTACTCCTGGTCTTGTTGGTTCCACAATGATTGTGAAAATTTTAGAAATGCAGGCGACTTAGACTTTCAATGGAAAGTGCTTAAGTTTGAACACTGAAAATAAAGGCTGAAAAGGTGCGCAGGTATGGATTTCTTTTACCACTTTCGTGTGATTTTAGCTCGTGGTCTGGACATTCCCAGCATCCATACCGTGGTGAACTACGAGGTGGCTCGCGACATCGACACTCACACTCACCGTGTGGGTCGTACAGGTCGAGCTGGTGTCAAGGGCACGGCGTACACCCTATTCGTGGCAGGTCGTGATCCTGCGGACTTCGCAGCACATCTGGTGCGTCACCTGGAACTGGCAGGCCAGGCAGTGCCGCCACGCCTCCTTGAGATCGCCCGTCAGTGCGTGTGGTTTGCTGAGAATCGGGCAAAGGCGGCAGCGGCGCGGGCAGAACACCCACGGCCCGGCATTGGCTTTCAACCCCGTGAAAGGCCGTTGCCATCACGCACCGATTTCCGTGCCGGTCAGGGCACCTCCGAATCTGCTTCCACTGGTTCCGCCTCTTCTATCTCTGACCTCCACTTCCCATCATGGCAGCCTGGTTGTGGACCGGCCACTGTCGCTGCCTCCAGTGGTAGGTTTATTCCCCTTTTAAAATCGCATTTTCATGTAAGCATCAGAGTCGGTTGCTTTATCTCCTTCCCGATATGGGTTTCGTTTACATCTAAATCATCATTTGCATTTGGTGAAGCGTTTCCAGCTAGATAATGCCCTTTCGCCCACAATTCGTTACATCATCAAGTATTTCTCAAGCATGGCATTTACTTTAAGATGGATCGAAAGTCAGCTGTGTACTTAACGTTGCTTAAAAGGCAATAGTTTCATACGCTGTTCTCATTTTTACACTCTTCTCTACTATGCCTCTGGCTTGGACCTATCCAGGCACAGAGGGTATTGTACTTAAAAGTGATAAAAACCGTTCGAAACGAGGTGCAAAGGTGTAATCCAAAAGCCACTGTTATTTTTCTCGAGAAACGCAATGAGTAACCCGTTATGAAAAGGGACAACAGTGGATATGGGCCTAGGGATGCTCTAGTCTGATTGCTATGCGATAAAAGCTGAATTTTCATTTTATTAATCAGTACTTGTACTTCTACCTTATGCAGCTGTATAACCGGTGGTTATGCATGTGAGCTTGGATCCTGTCTTGTCCCAAATGAGGGTAATCAAGAGCCCTTCTTCCATGCCCCACATCTCCATTTACCACTGAACATGCATGAGCTGGCAGCATAACATGAACTTTGGAAAATGACGGCCAGATTAGTAGTGACGGGATGATTTTATTCTTGCGCACCTGTAGCATTTGATTGATGTTGCTCTTGTAGTGATTAGTGGTGCACTCCAAGTCCATCGCTATGTGATATTGGCCAATTAGGAGAATTGGACGAGAGCACAAGTTTGGAACGTTCTAGAATGCTCTGAAATAATCTACGAAGAACTTTTCCGAAAATGTAAACAGAGACATTCTGTGAAATTCCAGACGACCCCAGTAGCGGTCATGAGTACTGTGGATTCATGAAAAGAATAATGGAGGAGACTCAAAAGCGTATGTATTCTGCTGCTCCTTAAAATACTGGGATCTAGATGCCTTACTGGGTATCTGAAAGCGATCAATACCCTGTTTTCACAAATATTGGCGATCAAGATTGCCGTCAGACACGTCGGGTCCGAGTTTGCGTTAAAATAGCTGGAGAAGTGTCAGTAGGAACGGAACGTCATGCTACGTGTGTCCTTCAGCACATCAGACGGATCGCCTGGCGGCAATGAAGGCAGTGTTTGCGTCGCAGTACAATCGCCGTTTCGTTTCCGCGGGTGTGGAGTCCACAAAGTACACGCACCCCGAACTCCTCGGCGCCACCACCGCCACTGCCACCACTACGAGCGACGCCGTCGGCGAATTTCGGGTGCCCCAGGCCCCTCCTCCTTCTGGTGTCGCCTCCGCACTGCAGACCAAACGGAGGCGATCACGTTGGGACTAAATGCAATCTACTTTTTCCTTAACTCGTAATACCCGTTGTGTGCCTGTAATGCCTTTTGTGTCGTGGTTCTGAGTCACTCTAGGGATTCTGTATTTGGCATTGATTGTGTCTAGACCACCTCGGTGCGAATACCTCGTCTAGTTTCAAGTTGTCGATGCGTGGTGACGAATGTAAGCTGTACATACAATATAGCAGATTGTGTAATGCCTTACTAAAACAATTTGTTCTGATGGTTGATGAAGATTGTTCTTTGACTACTAGACACTAGTGAGGGCACAAACCGTTGTAACCTACAGTTCATCAGCTTTATGGCTGCATGCAGTGCTTGCTGGATACCTGCAGTGGGACTTTTTACGCCTTGATTCACCTCCGGTAGTCTAGTTCAGAGGTGGTGTAGAAAATTAAGCCATGTGGGTACAGTAATGTAGTACAATACTTGGACCTTTCACTTCCAAAATCATAATTAATGTTTGTAAGATCGGAATTTGCAGACTTCGCTGGCGGTGCTGCATTGTGAGACGTCCCGCTTGAATTTATCAAGACATCCTCTGTTACAGCACGGCCATCAAGCAGCATTAGAGCTAGGCGACACAAAGTATCTATACCGGAACTGGTGTGTGCTTCGAGACTTGTTTTTACTTTGACAAGACATGGCGTAAGAAATCGGACCAGGAGACTTTCAAGACTGCGTGTTCGGTAAATCCTACCACCGAACCTGGTCGGCCCGTTGTGAAGTCTAGAGATAAGTTTGGAATTTTTTGAGCCGCAACCAACTTACCGAAAACAATAAGTGATAGTTCGCCGATGCGAACGTAACATTCGTTGCGTTCACTCTTGTTGTCTACTGAACGCAAACACTTGCAGATAAAAGAACCGAACGGTAGCATGGCTGAAACGGAGGCACTAATGACCAAGTGTAACATCCCATCACCGGTAATTCAAAATGAATCTAGTGAGGAATGCCAACCCAATAGAAAAAAAAAACAAATCTAAACATGCGAAATGCAGAGCAACACCAAAATTGGTATGTATTCCAGATATCTCATCCATTTTGACAAAGTACAATATATTAAAATAGAAATTTTTCCAAAGAGAAGTAGGCTTATTTGCTGGAATCTGCGGTTGGCGGTTCATTACACATGCAGTCCAGTGTGGATTGCAGCTTTTCAGCCGATATAATCGGGTTCTGTTAAAGGAAAAGACACAGCTAAGCAAGCAGAGTAGTACATGAGGGCAAATAAGGCCTGAGCTCAATCACTAGGAGGGCAAGGATGGCGAAGATTAATTACTGCTTCCATCAAGTTGTTGAAAAACGTACGACTTAATAAACCTACGGAACATTTTGTCTAGAGGTAAATGTGCATAAGGATGAGGAGAATCCTAACTGATTTCCAGGGCTATCATTAACGCAACAAAAAGAGCAGACTGTACAACTCTGCTAAACTAGCTTTGTGAACGTACATGAAACGAATTGACCAGAACCTTCCGCCTTTTGCGTTCTTTCTCATCGCTTGCTGGAAGCACGATCGAATCGGCTTTCTCCAAATTCTTCATGCATGCTTCTACAATCGTAATAATATCCTTCGCCTGACTTTTGTTAACGCTATTGGCAGTAGAAAAAGTCTGGAAAACAAAGAGAAGATTCAGTGTGAGACGATATATTCCGTCGACTAACAAGCAAAACATAACCAATGCACACACTATTAAAGATGAGGTAAGGTATAACAGTTAAGATCGCCAAAATTACTTACTTATGCCTGGGCAATTCATTTACCAAAAACATGGAAAAAGGGGGCCAATAATAGAGCGTGCTAAGGTGATCCGTAGCATTATCGCGACAAAATAAAACAGGGTACTGCAAATATTCGCAAAAAATGCAACTGTTTGTAACTAAAAAAGTTAACAAACCATTTTTTAATTGCAAAATAGAAAGTTTATTTCTAATGCTTTAAAATTTGTTTAGGCATTTGTGGCATTCAATTTGTTAATATAAGCATTTAACTTTGCGCTTACTTTGAATTCCCTGGCTTGAGGCTTTGTTTTGCCGATCGGCAGCCTGCCTTTCCAGTTCGGTCGGTGCTTACAACGCGACTTTCGCTTATCTACTGTGAAATAAAGGAATTAGGGAGCTTTTTGTGTGCCTAATGATTTGCTATGGTGGCTATTGCAACTATTATTGAGAAATATTTCCTTAAGCCCAGACCATTTGGGAATTTGAAGCATGGTGTTGAAATTCTATTAGATGTTTCCTTGGTTTTTAGTTTTTTGAGCTTTGGCATACATTGTAAGCATCTTTATTGTAGCATTCTTCCCTTTTGACTCACGGAGTTGGTGTAGTATAATTGCTTTATGTCGAAAATGCAAATGTGGTTAATAGGGCATTTGTTCAACTTTTATTCCTTTCCGATACTTACTAGTTAGCATTCTATTTTTGTTATTCTGTATCCTAAAATAGTAAATATGTGGTCTTTTTGCTGTCAATCTTGGTTGTTTTGTGCACCGTTTAGGAATCTGACTTTTCCAATGGCATGTTACTGCCTTTTTCAACCCTTACTTCTCTTTGGATTTAATTGTTGGGGTTTTGTTGGACTTGGTGCTTTCATTGTACTTATGGACCTAGTTCCTTTCGCAAATTATAATTATTGTTGGATGAAACGATTAATCTAATGCAAGTTCCTAAATAGGTCCTTTAGGCATGATATTATGATCCCTTTTAGAATACTTTGAAATTCATGAGCAGATGACTGTAGCATTTATTTATGTCACGTAAATACCACGATTTTTCGTACTTTATATTAGCTCAAAAAGTTTAGCAATAGTCGCATTATGTGTGCAAACCGTATGACTTTTTCAACAGCTTTCTTCTTTTTAGACCCTTGAAATCATATATTGTTCAATGGAAACAACTGATACGCCTAAAGGTGATGGTGAGTATATACTCCGATTCTTGTTTTAATGGCCTTAAGAGCACCACATTAGAACTCCATATATTATGTTAAATTTGTTATTCTCTGAACTCTCTTTTGTCACCTGTACTTTTAATTCATCAATATGTGTGGGTACGTGCTAGGAATATTATTCACTAATTCTTCGTCATTATATGGTCCCAATATGGCTGCACAAACAACCCGCTTCCATTATCATTTCTTCATAGACATTAATGAACTAAGTGTATGCCATTGTTTACGCGTATTTGACGAGCCTCTTTACTCTCTATTTTGACTTATAGATGAACCAATTTCGCGATCCTTACCTCAACCGGAATACTCAAACATCGAAAGTCAAAGTGCCTCTTCGAGTATTGAGCAAAGGGGTTCAAGTGACAAGTTCCCTGCTGGCTTTAGATCAGCTTTTCATTCCTCTCACAGCTTAACATTACCTAAGAAGCCAAGTAATTTTTATTTCTGATTTTCCACAATTGCGTTATAGTTTGGGGTCGCGTTTATTCATCTAGATTTTGTAATCGTTGATTATGGCATCCGCTGCCGTCCGCGCCTACTTGAACTAACCTGGTGTTGAAACGGCTATCATAGTAATCTTTCGTGCCTGCTGCTCTCGCAAGCTAATCTGAGGTCATCAGTCCCATTTGCGCGTAATATTCTCGTAACGTAGCCTCTGGTTTTAAACTACTACGTTTTGGGCCACATGGACACTAATGGTTAAAACGTTAACAATAAATTAATTTTTTACAGCCTGAAATTGGTTTGCCTTTTTACGTGCTCTTGAAAAGCAAATTAAGTGCATTACTATTTAGTTTGCTATTTTTTTGATCTCCATATTCCTCCTCCTTCCTTTTAGTGTTTGAATATTTGGATTTGATAGACTTCCATCTGTCCCCATAATATTGCCTCGGGAAAGGCCACTTGATACTAACGATTGCTGACTCCATGTGTGGTTGGTCTAAAACACTATCGCCTAAAATAATCACCTGCTACATTTGCCACAGCTCAAATTCCACCTCCCGTGCCTTCGGCCTCGGTGAGGCCGGACTGCCCAAGCCTCTCCTCCGCCGTCTCCGCCACCCCTCTCCTAATGGCTCCCCCCAAACCTCCCCGCGCGAATGCCAAATCGATGGGTTCGAAAAAGGGAAAACCTTTCGAAAGCTTCAACGCCTATGACGTCGTGAGTTACCTTTTTATCTACGGCATCTACTTGACTTAGCTATGCTGCCACCTGCTTTACGCGTTATGCAAGGCGATCATTATGCATCTTTTTATAGATTCCAACTTTATTTATGTGTCTAAAATGCTATTTTGGCAGGAACAGAAGCAGTTCTTTACTCCTAAGTAGGTTTATGATAATAACTAAATGAGACTGTGAGCTGGGTCTTACTTTTCTGCCCTTCCTGTTAATTGTAATTTGCCACTTTAGCATTTAACTGGGAAATCTGTTGTTGATCCCCCGGGACTCGTTTCATTTCACACGAAATAGCATTTCTATTTCAGCTTTAGTTGCGTACCTATGAAAATAATCCTTTGTTTTACAGATTTTTGAATCCTAGAAAGAATCAACGCCATTTATTGGTTTGCCAGCCCACTTTGTTTTTAATTCTTGCAGCATGAAAAAAACCAAGTATATCCCCAAAATTGGTGCTCTTTATGCTGTTAAATTAAACAGGTACAGTAGTTTATTTCGAAGTCATTTTGCACCTAAGGTCCGCAGACGCCTGTGCTACCAGTCAGAATGAGTGATGGGTCATTGACAGACATGTCACTGCACCTCGTTTTTATGGATGTAAAATTCCTCTGTCAGTGTGGTGTACATCCGAAATAGTAACCGAATCTTTGTTAGTAAAAGCCTCATTCGTTGCTTTCGTACCGTTGTCACTGTCGCGTGAACTCGGGTATTACTCATCCACGATCGGTCGTGTGTGTATGCCAAAAGTCCAGGCACGTGCAAAACCCCACGCCTACGTGAAAATGTGCTTTGTCAACAAACCCATTATTCATAGATGACCGAGTCATGCGTTTACGCGTGCACACGATAGCAGTGGATCCGTCTTTTCGTCACCTACCGTCAGGCAAGGACGACGAAGAAGACAACACATTAGCACTTTCAACCACAGGGATGGTGACCATGCTGCTAACGACAATGATATTTAGCCAACAGATGAGAAATGGAAATGAATTGGGTTCTCATGCCAGTACCTGTTGAGTGGGTTGCTGGTAGAGCTGTCTTGTTTTTTTGTCTACTCCAGTGTAAATCTACTCTTCTTGTTTAGTCACGAGTTTACTTAGTTTTTCAATGTGTAATGTACTTTTCCCACTTTACTGCTGCAAGGAGGATCAGCAGCAAAAGGACGATCAACAACGCAAAAGCCCATCACCTTCGCAGCAGAAGAATATCCGAATGCGGCATCCTGGAGGCTGGGTGGAGAAAACTGACGACGATGGAAATAGTCTCTACATCCATCCCGAGTCGACAGATCAGGTAGTGAGTTGGTTTCAGCTCTGACCTGCGCCACTGTGGTGCCTTATTAATTCATCGAGAGATGTGCCACTCATATCTGTTAATCTTTGCTACCAAAATCGCTCCCTCTTCTTTTTGTGATTGTGCATCTTTATGTTGCGTCACATGCTGGATATGTAAAATTTACATCCATTTTAATAGAGCCTACCTTTTGGGCTCTGTAAACCGTGCTTGGTAATTTCATCACTATATGCTCACCGAATTCGTATGGGTGCCGCCAACATTGTTTTTGTCAGAGTTTGCGTACCTGATGCCGAGACCTTCCTTTCTGCTTCGATCTTAACTTGCCTCATCCTTATTACTTTGTGTTCTACAGATTAAGGTGATTGCTTGCCCTTTCCCTACGTGACTGCTAAATATGGGTTCTGGCAAGGGCCATTTTGGCAATTAGCTTGATCACGTCACGTGACTGAAGGTGGTGCATTTTAACTCTTTTCTTAACAAAGCATCTCATACACGTCATGATCACGGTGTTTCGTAGCCAAGGGTTAGGCAATTTGGTCATTCAATTCATTTCGTTTTCATGTTTCTTTTTTGCGTAATTTTTTACAGTGGGTTAAGGCGGTAAGTGTCAACGGTGAAACCTATTTCTACGAGAAGACCTCGCGCAGATCCGCCTGGGTTCTCCCTATAGTGGAGCCGCGAAATGTCGCCATCGAACCTGCGTCGTGCAGACGACCAACGAGTACGATTGGCGAACTTTTTTCAGCCCCTGTCACCTGTTTCAGCCCGGGAACCATCAACACCATCGATCTTAGCGAGGCTCAGGCCAAATTTGGTGCTCGAAAAACTCCCGTCTGTGTGGGTTTTCTTATTATTTAATCTCTAATCATCTCCTTTAGCCTCTTTGAAGTTTTTGAGAGGCAGGTTTAATGGTGAATATTGTTGACATAGGTGTTTTGAACAGGGTGCCTTGACGCTAACTTGAAAGCTGAATCAGGGCTCTTGCAATTGGATAAATAGCCAAAGCGACTGTCAGTGTCATTATTGATACTCCCACCGTTTAGCTAATTTAAGAAGTCTTTCACTAACCTGTATTACTTGTAGAAAAGCGGTGACAATCTTTCGACAATATCTGCACAAGATGACGGCTCAAGCCGATTCTACCGGGTCTCAAAGGATCACATTACTGGACCTATTGAAAACAAGATTCGTGTAAGCCGTCACTTTGAATGCTCTTAGATATTCCGACACTTTATGCAATGCTGCTAACTCTTCCAAAATCACGATGTCGTTGATTTAGGCGACGGAGCGACGGGGCCAAGTAAATTTTACCAAATACTCGGCAAACGGAGTTTCCCTTCCCAAGAAGTGGATTCCCTCAATCCTTGTTCTCATTGGCCCAACTCTCTATGTCTATAAGGATTCGAAAGCGCAAGTAAGTCCTCGCCCTATTGCTGATTTTCTCAGAGAAATGTGGGATTTGAAGAACCACAGTTTTATTTGATTCTGAAAGAAATCACACTGGCATGATTTTTAGTCAATGTCTGTAAACACGGGGGTGTTAGTTTGGATTGTCTTTTCGCCTGTTTCCGCCGTTCTCTTTACCGTGGAGGTGAAAGCGTCCTTTCTTCAAAGTATTAAAATTATTGTACTACACAAAAAGTATGTCTTCTTTACAAATCCTTTTTTTTTCTTTCTTTGAGTCAAGCATCTTTCGAGGGAGTCATTTTATACTTACTGTCATTTTCATTCGTATGAACCATGAGAATAAACAATGTCATGTACAATATTAAAGCAATTACTCTTTATTACCCAAGAACTTGAATGCCACTTTCTTCTTTCCCTTCCGCTAATTTAAATTCCCAGCAGCCCGCTGCAGCGTCTCTAGATCCTGCGAAATCGATTGGGATGGTCTCACCAAGAGGTAGCGCAAAAATGTCCGATTCAGGAATAAAATTCTTCAACTTCCTTTCTGTAAGCCCAAAGTGAAGCATTAGCCCTCCCGCCCCTTCCCTCCACTATGCCCCTCTCCACTTAACCAGCCGCATACCACGGTCCCTGCTAACCCGCCTTTTGCTCGAGTCGTGATGCTTTTGCGCATTTACTTTCAGCTTCACATTTCCCATCCGGGCGAATCCTTTTCTTGGTTATGCGTTTATCAGTGTGATACTTCTTCTCCCACTGCTGCTGGAATAGGATTTACTGATAGCTTAGTGCTCGATCATTTTGCCCTCGGGTATTCTCAGTTACAATCCCAATGTTAGTATCGTGCTTCTTCCTATCTTATCCAGAAGTGCTGATTTCGTAATAAATACATGCATTTCTTTATCCATCACTATTTGTGCTCCTAGTGTCTTTCATGGGAAAGCTTCCAGAAAGATGAAGCCTAGTTTTTGAAATTATTACTACATGATCTCCCACTAAGTATCTCAGCCCAAAGGGGAATGCGTCATTCCCAGTGTTTGAATTCAACTACGCGTAATTTTTTGTCGAAACGCTTCCTTCCATGGAGCATTTATTGTCGTTTCCCTTAAAATGGGAAGTTTGTTTCTCCTTTATCGCCGGATCTGCGTTTTGAGGCCAGCGGAGTATCGGTGTCGCCACTCCATTGAATTTCACTTTCTGGCCATCGGTGCACGTCTGAAATGCTTCCGATTTTTGCTTTTTTGGTGTTTGCTTTCCTTACTAACCTGTTGTGGTATTCTTATGCGTAGAAAGAGCGCTGAACTATGGCGTTCCCCTCACTTCTGATAACTCTCCATTTGGATTTCAGAAGGGCTCTTGCATATCGGGCAAACCGGAACTGGAGTCGCACGTGAAACACCTCCATATTTCTCCCGCCGACAAGACTCATACCACTCGCGAGCATACCTTCGTGGTAAGTAAGGCACTTGCCCTTATTCCTCCCTCGTCATCTTTTTATCGTCCCGACGTACTTACAACCCCATATGCGCTTTTTAATTACCCCAGCCAGCGCAGAAGGCCTATTGCAGCTTGAGAGAATGTAGGAACTCCCTACTTTTCTTCTCAAGTTTACCTGATCAAACATAACTTGTGCTGTAGATTTGGTAAATGACTTACAAGTAAATTTGATCTCTGGAGGTGCGCAGTTTGATTCAGTGAAAGTTTACAGCCTCATATGCATATACTACTTGAAATTCCGGCTAAACGGATCTATCCGATGCTGCATTTGAGCGATCAAACAAATTGTGAATTCTGTTATATTTATTTGTGCTGCTGTATCTACTATTCACCACCTCTCGGCATCACTTTGCGCTTGCCGCCTTTCCCTATGGGGTGTGCTTAGGGTCCTACCCTCTGAAATGCAAACAAAATTTTGTATTATCTGAGAATCCTGCATTAATTCGAAAACCTGAAAACGAGCCTTTTGGGAGATTTTTTATGCAATTTTGCTTTTAGTGCGATGTTCAAACATCACGTTGTGGGACCCTGGCTAATGCCAAATTCTTGTTCTACAAAACTACACAATCATATGTGTATAACCACCTCTCTTCTATGTCGATCGCATTATAAGCACAAGTAATGCAAGGGTAGAATAGAATTAGAATAAAAGTAATGCAACAGTCTGGAACTCTGAGTTGCTCCTCTAAAGGCCTTTGTATAGAAATCAGGGGGCAAATACCCGAAAATAGTGTTAACGAAATATTCGTTACAAAAGGCCGTAGTGTTTTGCTGCTAGGAGGTCTTGAGGAATTTGCAGCTACAGGGCTACGATGGGATGCGGTTGGGAGGTTTTAGGCCCTTCCGCTTGAGCAGCAAGCACTGCGAAGGAATGCGGGAAAGGCGTACACTCAATCACTAGCACATCACCACGTGCACTTTTGCCTGTCCTCCTATCGCCTCATTTGCCCTAGTATTCTGCATCATGCTCTTTCGTGCCTAGGCTGTGTTTGCACTATTACGGAGCACTGTCCTGAATAACTCATCACCACAACTACTATCAGCAGTACTGCCTCTTCAATTACTATGCTTTGTTTCATTGAAGCGTGGTTGCTCACTATCGCCAAATCCACACGTGGCTTTTACTCAAATGCATTCGGGTGATGATGACAGGCATGAATTAATAGACTTTTCCCTTTCAGTTGAAGGACTTCACTGACTCCGACAATGTGGCCGAATACCTCATCGAAGTGTCTTCCGCGGAGCTTCGAAAAGCCTGGGAAACAGCCCTTCAGTACTCCCAAGATTTTGTTGTAGGCTTTTTCATTACTGACCTTAATAAAAATAATGCCATAGCTAAGCTCTTCTTGATTCTGTAAAGGTTTGTGTCATTACCTGTCCATAAGAGCTGAGGCCTTTTAAACTAACCTTATTTTACTGTTCTTCCTTTTTCAGAAGGAAGACCGATTCGACAGAAGGGCTCTCTCCACTCGTAAGTCCACTTTCATAGTGCTGCGCCATCCTCTACCATTAAATGTTATAGTTAACCGTGTCTGTCTAGCCCCTTAGTCACTAAATCTTGTCATTTTAGATAAGCAATTAAGCCACATTAATTTCTTTAATGACCATTAAAGGACGTTCTGACGCTAGAGCTGCCTTTGCGACGTTATAGCTGTCCCCTTTTGATATCCTTGACCCTATTGACAGCCTGTCAAAATGAGTATTCTCTATTTCATCTACTGCTGGTCGAATCTGCATGGACATTTTTATGCTCTTTTCCTCAACAGGCATTGGCCATCATTTCAATGCTACTGACTATTTCTTATGTGATATTAACCAAATTTTTTTTTTCAACTCCCCTTTTACCTTTTGACATCTTACAGCTTATCAAATGCTTTGCTCTGGTGATGTTTTGTGATCGGTTAGGTTAACCACGGTTATAGAGAGCTCGATTGGTGCATTAATTTACATTGATGGAGTTTTTTACTAGCTGTGAGCTTCTTTTCTTTGTGTCAGGTCCGCCACCCAACGTTGATCAAAAGGTGGTCGTGATGCTTCGTGAATTCTTCCGCAAACGGCCCACCTTGGAGAGCATTCGCGAAGCAGGCATCCTTCAAAGTGAGCTTCCCTCCCCATCGTTGCTATTTGTCAAATTATTTTGAAAAGGAGTGCATTAAAAGCGTCTAACTTTCTGCTGATGCCAACGACTACAGGTTTTTGCGAATTATATCGACGCCTAGAACCAACCAGTATGTTGGTGTCTGTTTTTGTCTGCAAATTGATGTTTGTTCTGTAGGAAGTTGGTTATTTTCATATTACTACTTTCTGGAGGTTCGAGGGGTTTTGGTTAAGCATGCGTCGACATTTTGCAAATGCTACTGAAATTTGCTGCTGACGTTAGTTTCAGAGTGGATTTTGATCAACTCCTCATTCCTTTAGATCACGGAATATTGCTTTAACGAAAGATTTACCACTCTAGCTCTTTGGTTAATCTCGACTAAATTCACACTGTGAAATGTCACGGGTGATAGCACTATCGCAAGAGGCGTCTACCCGTTGAAATTCTTTCCTTAGGCACTGAGTTGGGGCAAGAATTAGGTGAACGCTGGTTGGAAGTTGAAGTAGAGGGAAATGAAAGTTTTGCTTTACTTGTTTGTGATTAAATGCTAGAGGAATGCATTGTTATTCGATGTTGTTCATTAAAAATGCGTGTTGACAGACGGAATTGTTGATAAGGAGTAGTTTGTGGTTGAGCCAAATCCTCTCTGTAAAAGCTACTGGTACCAAACAATGCCTTTTGTGTCAATATATCCTTCTTAATGTTCCTTGTTGTGTGTCTTGACTAGATATACCTTTGACTGTACGAGTTAGTGAGGTTTCACTGCCATTTCGTGCTCGTTAATACTTTAACCAAAAAATTGCGATGAATTGTCTTAATGAGTCTTTAATAGCGACTGAAGCGTTTACTGTCTTGTCCTTCAAAGAGCGGAATCGCCTTGAATAGGCCAAAAATTTAATTTCGCAAATACCTACTTTTTGACTTAATTTCACAGTTGTTGTTAACAGCAATATAACCTACTTCCGTTGTGTTCCACTCATAAATGAAGTCTCCGCAACTTGACCTCGTGAATTGTTTATTTCGCTACATCCACTCCACCTACTTAACATGTTTTTCGCTCGGTCCGAATATCTGCGTACATATGCCGGAGTAGTAGACTACTGGACCTCAGATTAAGTTCCTCACTTCCCGAGTGTTCCCCTTCCTTTACTGCAATCATCAGTAGATGTGTAACCCCTAAGCTCACGCTGGCAACAGCCTACACCCACAATCATCGTTAGGGTAGCGAAAATGGAGCTGCGGAAAAAGATTGGATGCTAACCAAAGCCTAGTTCTCTCTCTGTGTGTATGCAGGCGTGCGAACTCTTTTGCCATCATTGGTAAGGCCCTGTGCTGCATTCGTTCATGCTTGTGTGTTTGCGCGCACGCATGCCTAAACTTGATTGTTTACAAACTTGTGCTTCTACTCACCCAATCGTGGAGTTGTCACTGCTTTGCTTCACCCCCCAAGTTGAGCTGCCATTGTAAACCCACCCATTCAAATTGACAATGGATTGTCTAACATGGTAGGACAATGCCATTTCAATTAGGGTTCCCAAACCATCGACACGTTTCCTACCAACGTCACATATTTGTGACACGCGGTGCAAACAGACTGATTGCGTTTAAAACAGCTAAATATATGCTTTTGACGGGAGTGCAATCAACACCTCCGTGATTCCAGTGGCGAAGTCATTAAGAACTTGGGTTTCGTAGCCTCTAGTAGCACTCACGAACAGGAACAATATAAGATTATTTGCCCTATCGTTCTGGTTACCCAAAATTTTTTTATTTTAAATTCGGGTTGTTCAGATGTCCGTTAAATGAATCATTTTGCTCTTTAGATGAGCCCGTATTCGGTTCAAATCTCATTGAACTGTGCCAAAAGGAGCAAACTAAGGTGCCAACATTTGTTACACGAGTAATTCTTGCGGTGGAGGCCAGAGGTGAGTATTGCTTCGTCATTCTTCTCCATTTGTCAACCGAGGATTCTTCGTAATTACCTTTCTCTAAATACCTAGGTCTCGAAACCAGTGGTCTTTATCGCAGGAGTGGCAATGGCGCCGTTATTCAAAAGTTGCGCAATCAAGTAAATCACAGTAAGTGGTTTTCTCTTCCTTATTGAAAAAAGAGCGTCCTGCATCTGACTTTATTGTCATAGGCGAGTACTCACTGAACTCCGATGAATGGGATATCTATGAGCTTTCCGACAGTCTGAAGCTGTTCCTAAGGGAGCTCAAGGAGCCTCTTCTCTTGTACTCACTTTACAGCGATTTCAGTGAGTTTCACCTGACACCCTACTCCTTTGTACCGTGTCGCAGGGTGGGGGGAGAATTGGGAAGCAGGATTGCATTATGTTGTTTTCTATCTTTAAGAGGACTTTAGCTCCACAATGGGTTCAGACTCAGTCGACCAAAATGTCAGCAAAATGCGACGCATTTTGCAGAAATTGCCTGAGTGCCACTACGCAACTGCCAAGTTGATCTTCGAGCACTTGAGCAAGTAAGTCGGCTTCATTCATTGCAAAGAGCGGTGTTTTTCTCGCACTTCTATGAGCTTCCAACACGCCCACTTTCAGAGTTGCAGCACTGGAAAGTGCCAACCAGATGAGCGCGAAAAATTTGGCCCTCGTGTTCGGACCGAATATAATGTGGCAGGACACGCCAACTGATGACTATGCCCACTTTCCCATCGTTGGCTGCGCGTGCACGGAGTTCATGATCACCAACAACGCCGCTGTATTTGCCCCTTCCACTCAGTTAAACTAATATTGTACCTACTGTCAAAATATTGGTAGAAAAGGCAACAGCCATTGACCCACTGCGACCGTCTTTCAGTGCTCGTCAAGGGGACGTGGAGCGCCACCTCGCCCTCCCCTCCCCTTCTTCTCCCTTTTCTACACCGCGTTTTATACTGCTTAATCACAATACTTCTCCACTACCTTCTCATGCATCTGTCTGGTTATCACCAATTTTTTGTTATAACAAGGTTGCGATTATACTTTTACAACGATTGTTACAAAAAGAGAAATGATATCTCTGCAGCTTCCTGCAACAACAACCCATTTGCTCCCTCCTCCCGAAGAAAAAGAAATAATCTCTAATGTCATAAAAATGTATTCTTTTGCTTATTTTTAGCCCATGTATTCACTTCAAATCTGAAAATTTTAAGTGAGAGCGTACACAGATATACATACACACACAATGCACGCAGTAGGTTAAAGGGACAACGTAGGTAAGGAGTAAGAGTGTGATACTATATAGATACAGGAAGCTTTCAAAGGACTGGGACTCCCCAATATTTTCGCCCTAGAGTTGCTGGCTGGGATTCGGGTCGGTACTGTTGAGGATACATATCTCAATCTGGACGAGAGGGAAAGATAAAAAACAGTTTAGACGCGCATCAGACATCAGCGTCGGCAGCGGGGCCCACCGAACTTACCACTCGCAGACCCCGTTCCGCTGGGTCGATCATGAGTAGGCCGTGGGGCATAAATATCTGGTCGTTGAGCTGGATCACGCGATAGGCGATCTTGTCTAGCATCTGAAGGCAGATAACATTAAGCGATTCTTTGTCCTGTCTAGTAATAATAATTGATAAACAGTAAAAGTGTCCCCGTCTACAGCATTCTATAGGCCGGGAGGAAGCCTAAATAGGGATCCGGATTCCATGCCTTTGTCTATGAGCTAAGCTGGCAAGACCCAGGTGCGTGGACTCGAACATAGCTGTGCAAACAGCACCCAGGGAGGCGCGTGCACAAATGTTTGTTCCTGCTAGAGGGAGTAGGGACACTTGGAAGGGTTATAGCTGTCACAAAGGTCACCTTTCAATGAATGTCCTAGTGGGTTATAATTGGCGAGGACAAACAGGCGTAAGCGCAGATATGACTTAGAAGTGTTGGTAGAGTAAAATCCATGCGTAACATATGAACGATACGTCGAGGAACGTCTGAATGGTGATGGGTCTTGAGATAGTCAAAATAGCCTGTGAAGGGTAGGAGAAATTAATCTACTAAATTTTACGGACAAAAAACCTCGAGTAATCACTAACAGACCGGACATTCTCCTCAATCAAGGCAGCTAGAGGCGCATTTACCGATACTCGATATTGGCATTGCTCTACAGGGCTACAGTGCTTAACACTGAAAACACCAAATAATTTTAAGACGAATTTTCCTTATTTCGCCCCTAGTTAACGAAAGCATAAAATTGGGATGTTGTCTAGCAGCAAATCGGTCTGCATTTACAGGAACCAGAAAAAAGCATCCCCAGTGGAGGTAACGCGCGGAAGCATACATCACAGAGCAGTTTCCAGGCCGTACCTTTCACCCAACGTGTTTAATAAACCAATGATAGATTATTAAATGAGATCATTGAGTAGCTAGACATTCGTGGCTATCACACATTCTGTATCAAAGAGACACAGGCTTTCTAATGAGGTCAAATGATGTTTGGTTTAACCGCACGTATCAAGGCTTTGGCAACCCTCCACGATTCAGCCCCTGCGCCCTTCTGAATATCGGCAATAAGGCTACTTCCGAATGCGAATGCCTGATACTGGTCGTAAGGATTGCTTTCGCGTTACCATCCACTAACACAACTTAAATGTATGAGTTCATATAAGAAGCTATGTTGGCGATGGGATGACTGTGTGGACACACTCTTTCATAATGTGTAGGCATGCAGAGAAAGAGGAGGTAAGCTGTGAGACAGCCGGTAAGGTTCTCGCAAACCACGCCCGGAGTTAAGGCCTCGGCTTTGTCAAACATTGCATTCAAATCTGATATGGCCTTCGCGAACTCCTCCGGTGGAATCTAAAGCACAGATAAAATGTGTCGTTGAATATTCTGCGTTAAAGCATATTTCATTGTCTTTACCAAGAAGTTGGACTGTTAGGGTGGTTCTTTCATTCGTTTATGGTGTAGCATAATGTTACCCGCATTGCACGGGATATTCACTCTCCAAGGCTTCAGTTTCCAATTCCTCTGGCAAGAAGGTCTGCTCGTTCCTTGGATTCATAACCCCTATAATCACCCCGGAGATCGAAAAAGTTCAACCGAACTAACCTTACAATTTTTAACAACTGGAGCAGCAAATATAACGGTCAGCTAATGCACAACAAATTTAAGGTCATTGTTGCTGATATGGTAAATCCATCAATGTAGTTTGTGCAAAATAAGATTTGATCTATTTTTCGTCATTTCGAATGAACGAGTTTTTCCTTTACCATTTCGTTCAGCTGAAGGATTGTTGCATAAATCCAATCAGAATTCATGGAGCTGCAATGAATTGCACCAGCTAGATCTGAATTTACTGAAAACTATCGGTTTTGGGACTACGTTTAAACACATCATCTGACTGCTCCGACCACTACAACCAACACTTGAGCATAAAATGCTGTATTCACTGCATAAAACAGCAAACTGAATCTCATTTACAAAAGGCTAACTCCAACCACATTTCTCTCTCGAAGCTCGCTCATCTAGTGCACGTATAACCTCTCTGAATACTCACATTTACCACATAGCCAAACACTTTCCTACAGTCTAGTACGTTTTAGAATATGGGAACAAACCACATGAATAGTTATTTTAGGGAATCAAAAAGGTCACCGCTGAAGAAAACTTCATACCACGCTTGCACAACACCAGCCTTTGCTGATGGTTTTAGCTATCTGTCTTACAATGCGACACCCTACACTGAACTTATTATGAAGAATAACGCAATTTTGCACCCAATTTCTTCACAGATTTCGCAATATAGTTAGGGGACAGTAGGTAACCAAATAAAAAGCATTCACTACCCGAAATACATGTTTAACTTCCTAGAGATACAGAAAATTGAGAAAGTCAGGCCCACTGGTTTCCAAGTGTAAGTTTCCCGTAAATGGCACTGTAGGTGTAAACATTTACGGAAAATTGACATCCAACTCAAGACAAAAGTTTACAAAAAAGGATAAGTCCACGAAATGTACTAGCCTTGCCCGTCAGCCGTTCAGGAAGGGCAGTCTGGAATCTGACGGCGGTCCCCTCCGTGAAATCGCGCTGAACAAAGACGCGCTGGAGGTTGGCCATTGAAGCCTGCTGAAGCAGGGCCTCCGGATTGTAGGTTGGTGTCGACGCCATTATGCTGCCCTCTTTCCACACTTCCTCATTAACCTAGACGAACGAGTCAATGGAAGTCAATCGAACCCATTTATTATGTTACTCAGGCAACAGCATTTGACATCTAAAACTGCAATCAGGTTATTTGGCTTGTGGTGAAATCCAAGATAAGCTTTGGGAAGCGTGATTTGCAAATATATGGATGCATGCGCACATTTGGGTAGAAGAAGATGGAATTTCAAAAAGCTACCTTTTATTCCAGATAGGAGAGGATGTGGAGCATAGATACAAATAGGGTCATTCAGGATTCAATCAATGGGCAATCAGAAGCGGTCAGGTGAGGGAGAATCTCCACCGCTATCGCCATTCCCATGCCTCCACCGACGCAAAGAGCCGCAATACCCCTCAGTTTGCCATCTCGTCCAACCATTTTGCCATTGACAGCACTGCCGTGGGCGTTTGAAGTACAACTGTGGGCCAGACGATGGAGACTGTGGACCAGAGTGACGATGATTCGAGCTCCACTGCAGCCAATCGGGTGGCCTAGGGCAATCGCTCCACCGTTCACATTTGTCCGCTCCCTAGGTAGTCCCAGCTCGTTCAGCACCTAAATGAATAGGTGAATACAGGCAGTCACGACAGAGACCGCACAGAGGGGGACGAAATGTCGACGCACAGCGAGGGATTGGGCGGCGAAGGCCTCATTCAGTTCAAACAGATCAACGTCATCGACTGACCAAGAGAGCTTTTCCATCAGACCCTTGACCGAGTCAATGGGTCCGAGACCCATCACTTGCGGCTCACAACCACTCTGGTGCCAGGCAACGATTCGTCCCAACGGGCATCGCAAACCTGCATAAAAATAAAAGGATTTCGGATAAAAATACCCTTGCATGCGTTTATCGGTGAAGGGGATAAAAGTGCTGTCGGGCTGTAGAGAGGGACGTGTGATTGAACAATTTCACTAGCTACATCGATTGGCCAAAAATCAAACAAGTTGCCGACTACATTGGTAGCAAATAAACAACCGCCTGGATTTGCTGCTGCGTTCTGTATTCGATGATAGTATGGTATGCAATAGAACCCACGTTATTGAATGGCTAAAGTCATGACACCTAGTCCATGTCATATAAACAACGTCTCGAGCGCTAGAGCCCACCAGTATTTGCACCAAATCAAATGATAAAGTAGAGCCGCATATACCAAGAGACTTAGCAGTGTCCGCACGACACAACAACAGGGCAGCAGCGCCATCGGCTAGAGTGCTGGCATTGCCCGCGGTGACGGTGGCCTCCTGGCTCCGCGGCAGACCGTTGGCGAAGGCAGGTGGAAGTTTTGCCAATGCCTCCATGGTTGTCTGAGGTCTCGGAGGCTCGTCACTCGACACTACTAGGGGCTCATCAGGCTGAAAAAAGACAAGGTAAATTGGTGTTTTGCGTCACTCCTAGTCAAATGCACAGTCTGTTACATATGCAAGTAATTCTCCAAGTCTTTGTCGTCTAGGCAGTGGTACGTATGATTTACTTTGATAGGGTGATAGTACGAGATGGGTAGTTCCAAAACGGTCTACTGACACATGAATACGGCAGTATGGTATTCTGAACACACTCCATTTGCAAGATTATGCCCCTTTTAGTTTTTAAACAGCAAACGCGTGCTCAATACTCAAGCACTATTATTGGGCCACTGAGCTGTAAAGAAGCGAAGTATCAAGCCTCAGACCCTAACGGTCATGGTGAAATACCTTTTATACCACCTACCAACACTTCGTCATGCAGGCGGTGGTTGAAGAAAGCTGCTCTGATGATGTGACACACATCTGATAGGAAAGACGATTTGACAATGGGTTTACTAAGAATAAGGAAATGGAGCAACCACAAAGCATTACGGTCACATTCAAAGTGGCTTGTACATTAGTTTATTCGCTTTTTTCAACCTTACGCCTTTGTTCCTCTTTAAAAAAGTAACTGAGTAGTTTGCCCTGGTGTTGGAACAATAAGTAATGGATAATAGTGAAATAAACGGCTCCATCAAGAGACTGACCATTTTTCAACGGATTATCTGCATCAAATGACAGTAAAAGTTACAAATAAAATAAGCACAAACACTCCACATCCATTAAAATTCTTTACAAATAGTTGCCTGAGGAGGTAGCGCATTCGTGTAATGTTTTCTAAACACGGTGATATTACAAGAAGTTAGACGACACTGCGTAGTGTTGATATAACCAACTATGAAATATCCAATGGTAACGACTAGGAGCTATCCGAACTACCAAAAAAAACGCAGGAAGCCGCATTTTCTTATCATCAATGATCGGCGAGGAATGCTTGTTGTATTGGTATGAACCCTTTTGCATACCTTGAATGGCGTGCAAAAAACCGGAGGCAAATCAACAACAGTCACTGCGTGTTCACAGAGTGGGTGAAATTTCAACAAAATGGAGAAAAACAGATTAAGGGCCAATCAGGACAACTTATCTCCTATAATCACCTCATTTTCTAAGTTAAAATTCTGTTGCGTGTTTCTTGTAATTAAGATATGGTTCGTCTTAGTACGGAAGTGACAGAAAAAAGGGGCTGAATGAAGGATTTCGTCACATACACACATGAAATGAAGTAATAGATTAGCTGACAGCGGAAACGATTATGGAGCGCATTAAGGCCCTGTTACAAATAGATTGCATAGAGTCATTGTATTTTGGTGTGGTACCGTACAAAACATGTGGTTAAAATGGCATTAGGTGAAGTTAGATAGCACTCTGTTATGTTGATTACCAATGGCAACGACTTAAAAGTAGGCGTAGCAAGTGGCGGACACTGAGCTGTGGACTAGAAATAATACCGGAGAGACAAAGCATGCAGGTAGTGACAAATGCTCTTTGTTCAGGTGGCTTGACAATCCAGGAGGAGTAAACACAGGATGCAGAAATAAAATGAGCTATCCCAACAAGGTCCAAACCACCCGTTGCAACAAATGGTAAGTTTTTCAGTTATCCAATATAAAGTAAACAGTCCGTAAGCTGAATGAGGAGTTATTTTTACCTTAGACAAGAATTGTACCGGAGAAAAAGTGTTTTTGAGCAAAGTGTGCAAATTGCAGATAGAATCAGAATTAATAGTAGCAAATACTTCTTATAAACAAAAGCGTATCCAAATGTATGGAGCAGCGGTGTAATGCCGACAAACGAAGGAGCCTCCGGTGACTGTGAGAACCAACATGACATCACTCGGTGCTGATTGCAACCGGAGGTAAGCTATTTGTCATCGAATCACTTTTATTCGGATAGAAGATCACGTCACCGAAAGACACGTGCCTATGAATGTATTTAAACTGAAGACATCAAAAAAGTTTTAGCTTGCTTGGCAGTATAGTGGCATGAGACGAAACAGTTGGTTACACCTACCGGTTGCAATGGACTGCATTACGTTTGGACAGTGGAAGATGAAATTTGCTCCAGTGCCGTATGCTCCGGTTTACATGGCTTGAGTGCGAATACAGAGGTTCTACGCCCTCTTACTGCTGTAATTTGCATGGCAGGTAAGGCGATTTGGTGATAGACCGCATAAGAAATGGTCGTCATTACGTGGACTCGTTTAAGCAACAAAAATCACTGTACTACGAAGACATTCACAAGGCACATTTAATGACCTATCTGAACGTGCGAAATTTAAACGCGTTCAAAATCCTGACTGGGAAACGTTTTGATCAACTTAAAAGTGTTTTAACCATTAAGGGTATTGACAGGACCCTTCAGATTGGCCTTGGTTTTCAGCCGAGAAGCGCAAAGAAACAATTAATAATCGCGCATAACCGAATGCTTATACATAATTTAATGCAACTAAACTTGAAGGTGAGGGAACAGGTTTCAACTGGTTTATAATAAGAAAAGGTATCAATGCACTCATCATACTACATTCGGAATTTCAATACATCGCATTATGCTTTTACCAAACTAGAGTGGGATGCAGGCGAACAGGCGTATCTGAGAGCTATCTAGCTGATTAAGCTCATTAAAAAAAGACACGAAACAACCATGAAGAAATTTGGGTGTAGCGATGGCCAAGTTTGGGTCAAACTCCGTGTTAAGCCGTTAGGCAAAAGCTTCCAACTTACTCGAGGCGGTATAACTGAAAGTGCAAGGCACCTGAGTGAATGTGGCAAAAAAGAGGCATTTGTAGAAGGTCTCAAACAAGCACAACGAAATAGGCATAACAAGGTGCTAACGTACAGCACCACGTTTGTCGGATTTAAGAATGGTGATTGACACGATTTCAGACCCGAATTTCCCCATTTCCATCGCCTGTTTACACCTCGCCTGAGACTCCAACGCGAAGGCGTCCTGATCCTTCCTGCCGATTTGGAATCTAAACATAAGAATACGTAACGTGGTTTTTTACTTCATCAATTCTTAAAAGCACTGGTTCGGGCAGATAAACCTCTAGCCAGCTCAAAAGGATCTCACAGGGTGTTCTGTATGGTTGTGCCAACGGGGTCAGAGGACATATTGCATAAACCTGTGTACTTAGGGCAGATTGTGTAGACTAAGATCTGCAGTAAAAATGAAGGTTTTAACTGGAGGATGCTTGAAAAAGGGTCGGTACTCAGGTCTGAGTAGATATGAAAGCAAAATAATTAGTTGCTTGTGTACTGATACCAATGACCACTTTTGAGTACGAGTGTAATTTTACTCTGAGAATTGGGAACAAAGAAAGGAAAAGCGAATAGGAGTGGACTAAGAAATACACTAAAAATATGCGTGAATGGAGTAGGTCCATATGAAAAAGCAATTCTTCATTTATTCTCTCGAAAACTTTTAGAGCACATACGCTAAGGGAGAAGATGATATACACCACAACTATCCATGGACTAATGTAATATTTTAATTGTTTGTTTAACTCTCGGTCGCGGTAAGAGGCCACTTAGGGGCCCCGCCATTAAACCTCCGCAGGACGGTCTGGTCTTCGGGCCAAGCCAGCAGCCCCAAGCCCTACTGGCCATCGACAATGCATGTTCGTTCGTCTTTCATTTTCAGGGAAGTCTCGGGGCATTACACTAAAATCCAGCATTAAAAAATGACCATTATCATGTGTAATTAGGCAGTAATGTCAACATGAAGATTAGTCATAGATCATCGTGCTTTGCAAGCAGCTTGCCAGGCTAAAGCCTCAATAAGAACGAAAGGGTAAGGGACCGATGGACTTACTGACTCCGCACCCAAGACCCATCGGCCGCACCGACACAAGAGAAAGGGTGCACACTATGCCCAGTTGAAAATAAAACTGCCTTGAAAGCTTGGTTGAGAACTCACTACTAACTTCAGAGGCGCACTTTAAACATTCGTGCATTTCAAGTAGTCCTGAGCAAATAATGACCACAATAAGTCCAAAAAGTCTATTTTTAGCCATTTTAAAACACTAACTAGGAATGCTTTGAGATTAAAAACAAGATTTAAGAAGTGGCCGCTGACACATAATTAGGCATTAGTACCGTTGTGCGAATGGGATACGCCCAAGAAACGCATACAACTGATGTGGAATTGATTGATTGAAATATGAATGGAAGAAATAGATGTTGAAAGTCAAGCAAGCCAATTTTTGCACATTTAAGGAATCTAATCCAGAGTTTTCAAATGACATCGTATTATGATTAGCAAGAAACCACAAAACATTCAAACAGGCTTGAGACTTTGAATGCTAATTTTATCATACAATTGAGATATGTCAAATAAACTCAAATATTAAGCTCATCGAACACACCTTTGAGGTTTTTACGGAGTCTATTTGGAGAATCAGAAGCAGCACACCACATTTAGATAGTGACTAAAATAGTTTTGCCAGATTATAAATCTCTCATTTTTTTAGGACAGATAAGCACTTATACAATCAAAGTACTTTCGAAAGCTCAAGAAAACACGGTAAAGACCTACTTTTGCGCAATGTTTTCAGCAGTTACACCCATATGGACCCCATGGAATGCATCTTCAAGGCCGTCAGTGAGGAGACTGTCGACGAGACGGAAGTCGCCGAAGACGGGGAGAGCGTCAGCGTTGCCACCGCCACCGCCGCGTCGCAAACTGCAGCCAGGAGCAGTGATATGGGGGCAGCGTGACATGGACTCCTGTCCACCGGCCACGGCCAGACCCCCCTCTACCTTCAGCGTCTGCGCGCACTGGCACACTGCCTTCATGCCTGAGGCGCAAAGCATGTTAAGACCCCAGGCTGGGACATTATAGGATAGACCTTGCCGGTAGAAAGGAAAATAAAGGGAAATCGCAGGGTATACTCGACGAAAATTCAAGCTGAACGTTATTAAATGGGAAAGTGAATAAAACCGCAGTTGCGGGCTTGGGATTGGAAATTACCAGTCCCTTAATTAGACTAATCGTGTGTCATGAATTGGGTTCCCGAAAAACAAATACAGAATAAATTTTGGATTATAAATTTAGCCACAAAGTGCGACAAGATATGAGTTCAGTCCAGTTATAATACGAACTAAGCTTCTGACTGAATGGTAAGTATTAATAATGCCAAACAGAATCACTTCTCAAAAGTTCGAATTCGTTCTCCATGCAATAGTAAGTATGACCTTTCACATTTTGTCATAGGAAGGAACAGAGTAAACTGGCACAATGAGAAACAAATCTGAAAGAGAAAATCACCAACTTGTGGCGCTAGATACGATTCGAAGATCACGTACTTTAATAGCCATCATTCATCCAACAAGTCTGGCCCCGTGATTGGGCGGGACTAAGGCATTCGCACTTAATGTCAGCACAACCAATCCAGAGGGAGGTCATGACAACAGAGTGAATTTCGGCAGCCAGTAATGATAAAAAACACCTTTATACATAGTACGAAACTTGTGGGGGAATCCTCCTAGGCAGAATAGAACACGTCAGTATACAGGCGAATAGAGCTCATCAAAACACCATCCCCATGTGGCTCCACTAGCATAATGCTTTCAGTCGCATGCAGAATGACGGACATTTCGTAAAAATACACGTAAACTTCTGAAGAATGCAAAAACAAAGTGCACCCGCAATGTTTGCGACGAAATATTGAATGTAGGCCCTAGTGTAGCCATAATTTATTATACAAATGACAAAGTTCGATGTTTTTACGTTCAGCTTACCAGCAGCTTTGGCGGCCTGTCTTGCCGGGTTCTGACCTCCACCCGCTGTATACACCTGACCCATTATTACTTCACTCACTTTTGCCAAAACCCCCTCTTCCGTCTGCCCAACAAATTGCTTAGAAGCCTGAAAAGGAATAATGCGCTCGTGAGCAAAAGCAAGTGTTGGAGTAAACTGCTTAAGGCACTTTTCTTGAATGAAAAAAAAATCGTTCTGAGAATACGACCAGAAAATCAACTATCACAGAATAAAGAAAAATCTTGGTGATCTGTTAGCATTGATGAGCTTGAATTCATATCAGCAAACGAAGCACTGGATGTCACGTAGGCCAGTTACCTCAGACGACGCGTTTTAACCCATTCAAAATAGTAATGTAGGGAGAACTAACCCTTTTGATGCATTCCGATATCACGCATCCACCGAGTTCATGGGTAGGAATACTGGCCAATCTGCCACAGAAACGACCAATAGGAGTTCGGCAAGCCGAAACTATTAGAATGTCCGAATCAGCGTACCCACCTTTCATTTCGAGTAAATAACCCCTAGTCACACCTTAAATAAATGAACAGGTGGGTTTGATGGGAAATTACACTATCAATCGCCACACTATGCTAAAGTACAACAAAATAGACAATAGAGATGGAAATACACAAAAAGATCTGAATGTGTTCGATTTGTCTAAGCATCAAAATGAAAACAATCACAAGAGGAAGATACTCAAGCACGCAGAAAATTTCAAGCAACTAGCAAGCATGTGTTTATTTCTACAAAAATAATGCAAACTTGGTTGACGATGAAAGGAGAACTAATGAAATACTTGGTTATGTCGTCTCTTCCGCAAATATTCCACAAGAAGAGGGTGAGAGGAAAGTCCCTGGAGGTCATTTTGAGAATGAGAGGAAAAGGCTTCGGTTTCCTCTTCCTCCGCCTCCTCTTCCTTTACCACTGTCATGGAAAAAATGCTCTCGAGATCGGCGTGCTGAGGGCATCGGGTTGTGGCAGTCCACGCAATCACCGGTTCCGTACAATCCTTGTTGGGTCCACCACAACACTTACGGAAGAGGAACTGGCCAAAAGGAGAGTCATAACAACGAATACTCTTTTAATAATATAGCTTTTTACGCTAACATGTAATGCACTGAGATATTTGATTAAAGAATTTCTCTAAGTAAATTTTCCCTACCGAGGCATTGTAGTCGAATTTGAAGAGGTGTCTTTGAAAACTTTGTACCGTAGACGCTATGATTAAAACGGATTGTTGTGTTCAGGTGGCGAATATATTTAACAAACGAAGTGAGACAACAAAGCATAGATGCGTTTGCTTTGGTTTATGAATGCTAAATCCTGGCAAACTACCGAGGTCGCAACGAATAGTGTGTTTAATTTAAGGGCGGTTAAGTCATAAACGTGAAACTTTGATTGAAAGCGATACCAATGCATTCGTGACATCCACTAGCGGTATTAACAAAGGTTCCGTCACTGTCGACAGTACTGAAGGAGGGCGGCGACTTCATAAATATCGGAGTGGAATGAAATATCAACACAGAGAACAGCTACGTGCTTATGGATAAATTAGTTGACACGCATCATTTTGGAGACCAGTAGGTCACGGTACTTCCGTTGTGACTACTAATATGGTGCTGGCGGCGGACACGTCAGTCAACAAACGGGGAGAACAACTCCATAGGACAAATCCTAGAAAGTAAACAACATTCAGGTTAAACTAGTAGAATTATACTGTATTTACTACTTCTTTCAGCCCAAACGTATTCAAGTTGTCCAAATGACAACGGAAATTCCTACGAGCACCTAAAAGGTACATTAATAAAAATTAGGCTTCAAAGCACTAAAATTCACCTGAGGTGGAAACTGAACGTCACTAAACGAAGCAACACCATCAGTCGTCGAACGCGCTTTTGTAGATGTCGACTTTCGCGACGGAGGCTTCTGTGGTTTGCCAGGGGCACACGGCGCGGCAGGCGCCGACACCGATGTCGAAACCGAAGGGCCCTCTCCATCACCTCCCGCCTCAGTATCCCTGAGGGGAATAGTGGTAGAGGTGGAAGCAGTGGCGGCACTAGAGGGCTGAGGGGGCGGCGGCGTGTCCTCAGAGAGCACCAAGTGGGCCGCGCAGTAGGGTAGTAAGGGCACACATGGCCGACTACATCGATGCTCCCAAGTGGTAGTGGTTGGGTCGCGGTACTTGCAGGATTGTTGACCTCCGCCCGAACGCTGCCATGGAGCCAGTTGAGTAGACATGATGGCAAATTTCGATACTGCTGCCGCTCGCTTTGCATTTTCCACCTAAATAGGCAGAGAGAAACCACTAGAGTTCAGAACCAGTGGGCGCCCATGTACACCACGGCATCTATGGTAATGCAATGAGTGTTGAAAACCAATACAGGCCACATGAGCGCAATTCAACGTTCCTTAGCATGTGCATATTTACAGTGACGAGGTGAATGCGCATGTGTGGTTAAGTGAAGATTGTAAACTCACCCTACTAGAGTGGCGACCGAAGCGTCGGAGTGCACGTAGCTCAGCCGATCTATGACTAGCTAAAAGTAGGAGGGTTTAATCAGACCAACTCATTCAAGCCACTGGGAAGAGACACGAAAATAAGTGTTATGCGCTAGCAGCTTCAGTACAGTATCTTATTCACAATATGACAACACAATACCATAATGACAATGATTAAAAGGCTCACAAGTGTTCCAAACAGCATGTGACTCGACTTCTGATACAAGTGCAGTAGAGCCCTGACCAGGCCAACCTTGACTTTAAGTTCCAAACTCTTCTGCGAGCATTTATTAGGGCTGTGTCTAGACGCGTTTTTTTTTCATAAAACCTGCCGAGAACTTGGACACAATAAAACACTAGTTATAGAGGTACAGGTGCGGTTAAAATCTCGAACAGTGGTGTTAAATCAAACCCGGATTATGCGTATAGAAAGCGGATTAACAGAGCACTGACTGGAAGGGGTGGAATGTTTTGAGTCAGCAGACAAATCCCCAGGAGGCGTTGCTTTGTTGACAACACCAGCACTGGCGGCTTCCACCGAACCGGAGAAATTTAATTGGGCCTTGGCTTCGACAACCTCTCTCACGTAGTTTTCCACCATAGTCTCGCGTAAAAAGGTCATGGCTTTGCCACAGAGTCGGATGTAGGCGGACCATCGATCAATTGCTTGCTCGATCACTTCTTCCCTCGTAAAAATGCCAGCACGTCTGTGGAAAACACCGAAACGAGTACAACTATACATACATGAAAACAAATGAGACTCGGTTTGGATGACGGTACTAAGGATAGGGACGCATCCAAAGTTCTTTAAAGTAGACAAATTAGAAGTATACAATTTCAAATGAGTACTTCAAATATTGAGTTCCGTTAGTGTGTTCAGAGAATTGATGGTCATCGTTATTTGAAAGAGAGGATGTTCCCGAATCCGAAGAAAAGCTGTCAGACGAGACGCTATCACCGTCGGATGACCATGAATCTATACAATCTTGTTCACTCATTCCCCTATAAGTTTAAGTACCGTATATGTAACCAAACATCTGTCAACTTTACTGACAAGGATACACCATCATTTATGAAGCCATACGAAAAATCACATAAAGGAATGAACCCTAACAAGCAATTGCTTGAAGTTAGAAGCAAAGAAGTGTGAAAATACGCTTGGTAAAAAGCACAAAACAGTAAAGATATATAAAGATAACGTATGCTCATGTTAACGCATGCGTACATTGCATACACTAAATGTGCAAGTAAGGGTTAAAGACATGTAATTGTTTTGGAAAAAAAGACGCTTCAACCAGTGACTTGTTACACGAAATACTTGACCAAATTTTAGGCCAATACACTCAAATATGGCACCATAAAACAAAAAAGTTGATGATGAAAAATCGATAACGACAAAATACAGGTAATCCCTTACACTTACCACATCGTTATACTTGATAAGCAAGCAACGCAGTTTAAGAGAACTTAAACATCAGCCAGCAATACATTAACCAATCTTTGCCATTATTTCCTTTCAATTTGTTAACAGCAAGAATGTCATCTCAAAGGGATACGATGGAAGAATGATGGAGCATTAACTGGTGGGAAAATATGAGGTCACACTCAAATAGTAGTGCAAGTAGAGCCAGAGGTTTAAATAAACACGAGACAGACCACAAAATATAAAACAGAAAACACACCTGCAGGGCCTCTACTACAAAAACGTCTTGAGAACAATGCACCAAGCAGAGCCACACAAGCCACACACACGAGCCAATCACTTCTTAGAGTTTACTGCAAAAAGGACATTAAAAAATGGTTGAGTGTAAATGTCTCCAAAAGTACTCCCATTCAAGCTGTAATACTGTTCGTCACGTTCAGCGCAGAGTTAAAATTCCTTGCAGTTGCAAAAATGAATCAAATATCATATAAATAGCCTCTTTTACTGGGAGTAAACATCCTGTAGCAGTTCAAGACAATAAATGCCAAAAACATCACCGTCTCACTAAATGTTTTAAAAATTTAAAGTTTTTTGTAGTCCAACTATTAGGCACACAAGCTTGTGCACAATTGCCAAATAACCGGTCCTATGTTTAATAGGGGCATGATTAGGTCTCAAAACAATCAGTCAGAACACATATGTAGCACTCAAAGACTTTTCTGAAGACAAAAGAAAGCATAAAAATCGGGCAGAATAGATATATTTAGCACGAAAATGTTATTTGGGCTACTGGCGTGGCTCAAAGACCAGCCTCCCTGGCGTGGTACAAAGGCCAATTCAAATGTGGCTCCTTGCCAATACGGAGAGATGAGCAACCATCGTATTACGCAGCTCCACTCTTCTTTTGAGCGTCGTATATGGCGCTACCCTTGGTCAACCTCCTGCGTCAGCCATCACAACGTAGTCGGTGCTCTAAAGAAGTATCCGCGATCCTACCATGCCAGTCACCAAATTTTCATGCATCTGAGGCAACGCTTGACCTTAACGTCACTGATCTCTCTTTACGATCTAACCGAATCTGGAGTTTCGTCCGGCTAATAAACTTGATTCAGAAACGGTGAAAATATGCTGGCCGTTATACGCGTCCATGAATAGATGTACAAACACTGGCCTTGAAGCAGATCTGTGTGAGGAAGGACAGGATTAATAAAGGTCCATGGAGGAAGTCTGTAATAAAAATCCCAGATGCTTTACGTCTGGTGTCGCTTTAGTTGGTAACAGCTTTCTGTAGAATAAAAAGCTGTGGCAGTTTTTAAAGGAAGACATTAATTTAAGCCTTTTTTATTTAACTTCATAACCAATTTTCTTATCCATGGCATATGCGTTTCTTCCGCTGCGCCTAGGTTATTTACCCAGTAGTAAAAACCGGATATAGCTCCTTTGAGATCTTGCTCAACTTACGCTGGCACCAAAGCAGCAGTCAGAGACCTCCTTAGAGACAAGAGAATATATAATAATTAGTCAGAACATTCATATTCGGCTTACAGATGTTAATGGGCCACTGGCTTCGACTGAATACCAGCTCACCCGGTGAGGTACAGTGGCCGAGACAAAGTGGATTTTCACCGAAATAAACCGTTAAACACACCATCAACGCATTTTGCTTTAGACAGCATAAATATTGCTAATGTTTTGGAGAGCAGTTTGCTAATAATGCATCCTATGGTTTATGTGACTGCTTGTGTTGGCGTTCTTTATGAATGGCTAGTGAAGCCTTTTTTTGTCGGTGAGGTCAATTATGTCAGATTTTTTAATAATATCGGTTCCTGCGGAAGGAGACCATACTAAGACTTATAGAGACCTTACTGCTGGTCTTTCAAAATATCCGGTTGCCCAATCTATCACCGAATTTTCAGTTCCTTTGAATTTAAAGGTATGTGGTTTGCCCCTCTTGCAATTTTAGGTGGGAACTTTGGATGGTTTAGTTGGAATTTCCGATGAATTGGCAAAAATGGACGCTTACGCTGAGAAGTAAGCATTCTTTTACCTCATTTTTTTAATTGACTGCTGTTGGTTTGGTAATTTTGGTAGTTGCCTAAAGTGGCGTACTAATGATAGCGTTGGTTGTAGTTGCTGACGATAGCTTGCTGCATGATTAGAAGGCTGTGTGATATCGCTTGTATATTTGCTACGTGTTTGACCGAAGATCCTCTTATTTAGTTTAGGAGCCAAAAATTGCCGTTGTTTTTCAGCGTTACTCGGAAAATTGCTCAGTATATGGGCGATATATTGGAGGAGCAGCGACACAAACTTGAGGATAATCTACTCGTTAACGGATGTATCTTCCCCCATTCCCAACCTTTACTTTTCCCGTTCGTTAGCTTCTCCTAGTCTCTATATTAGCAAGTTTCAATGGGATACAGCTAAGTACCCAATAAAACAAACACTCCAGGCTCTTCACGACATCCTCTCGGAGGTAATACTTTAATTTATCATCTTATTTGTCATTTTCAAGAATCTTTCTCGACTTGAGGCTGATCTGAGGACCCGATCAACAAATTACAACAATATTAAGGGTGCATTGCATGCTCTGGAGAAGAAACAAACGTAAGTTTCTACAAAGACTGCATGACTACTTAACTTCTGCAGTGGTAGTCTGCTAACCAGAAACCTTGCCGAAATTGTGAAGAAACAGCAATTCGTTTTGGGATCCGAATATCTTATAACAGTGGCTGTTGTAGTTCCGAGGTATTTTGTGTGTGCCGAAAATTTTTACAATTGTATTAGAACAGCTTACAAGGAATGGGAAGCCACGTATGAGAGTCTGGTAGATATGGTGGTGCCAAGATCCACGGAGTAAGTGGTGCTTTTGGTTTGTTTTTTTTCCCAAGATTAATCTTCGAGGATCAGGATAACGGATTGTGGACTGTGACCCTGTTTCAGAAGATGCTTAATGATTTCACTCTGCGCGCACGCGAGAAGAGGTATTAATCGCTCCTAACAATTGCATTTATCCAAGGTTTATCGTCCGAGATTTCGTTTACGACGAGAAGGCGATAGAGGAGAGTAAGAATATGTTTTCCAAGCTTGAAGCTGACAAAAAGAAGCAATTCGTGAGTTGAAGTTTCCTTGCTGGGTCGATTATTATCAAGGACTGGTTAATTTCCAAGGTCTTTGCGTTATTTTTAGCCTCCTCTCTTCCGGTGGCTTAGAGTCAATTTTGGCGAAGCTTTTTCTGTCATGACGCACATCAAAGCCCTCCGAATTTTTGTCGAGTCTGTACTCAGGTAGGCGACATACCTAAAGATGGCCTGCTCACTGTCCTTTGCCACACATGCTTGGTAGTCTTTACTTGCTGCTGATAATTTCAGATGTGAATCACACTATGCAGTATTTACAATCTATAAGGAACGGATTTTGGTTAAGGACTGGTTCTTACTATAGATATGGTCTGCCCGTCGATTTCGAGGCCATACTTATTGTACCCAATCGAAAGAACTACAAACGGCTACGTGAGGTTCTTCACAACATGTATGAGCACTTGGACAACCTATCTCTGAGCAGCACAACTGACGTAAGTTTGTCGGGAACACTAACGTTTGCAACAACGGCCGGACTGATTTTTGCAATGTTTCCCTTCAGGAAGAAATTGTTGGTGCTGGGATGAGCCACGGGGAATACTACCCCTACGTTTCCATAAGTGTCGAGACAAATTTTGTGGACACGCGCTAGATATGGCAATTGGGTATGAAAAAGAACTCTGCGTGTGATCCATGGGGCATTGAATCCCCTTATTTGGTGCATAATAATCTAAACACTTCGTTGTTCTACTTTGCTTTACTCCACCGAATTGATTTGTTTCCGTCAGCACCCGAATGCACCTCTGCTGTTGTTTGTTGCTCTCAAATCGGTGATATTTTGAGTGTTTTAGAGAAATGACCTGCCTATTCTTCCCTTGCGGCGAATATCTGTTCGGGCCACTTTGAGTCTGAGCATTTTCTCCCCTTTTTAAACAGTGAAGCATTAAAATAATGGAAATAAATTTGTGATGACACGTTATCCAGTACGCAACAGTCAACACAGCAGCAGCGCCACGGTTGAGTGTGGTAAGATAAGAGTAATGATTGAGAAACAGGGGGCCCCGACATTGCTTGGGAGGCAATAAAGTAGTGGACGTTGCTATGGATTAAGGAACTGCCGGCACGGATGTCAGGAAAAGTGTGCCGAGTGGAGGGGCTTGACATCGTGTAAGAAATATCATAGAGCCTCAGCTCAGCACGACTTGACTTTACACGTGAGAATAGTTGCCATGGCGGGTGGCGAGCATCACGTCGCGGTGTTGTGCCTGTGGAACAGCCTAGAGTGACGAGATTTCTCGTGAAAGTAGTAGGCGCCGACAGATCACGAGCACCATAGTATGGTGATAGGATGTTTATTAGGAAAGCATTTGACTGCTATCAGCGCTTTAATGGTGGTCGTTCATCAGCACGACAGTCTTCGTAATTTTCCAGCGCATGGAGCACCTGATCCTGGGCAATTGACACACAAATACCAAGGAACGGCATAGGAAGATGCACTTTTCTATAGTCAACGATGGGGAAACCGCTCATGGACGTTCGGGAATTTGAAGAGTTGGCGCCCGTTGTGTACCGAGCCATCTGTCCCATTTTGGACAGCACAGAAAAGCTGGAAGCCCCGTCCCGAGAATGAAGACTGGAACTTTCTGGATCTTACAAATTTTATCTGACTAAACTGAGGCCCATTATTTCACCCCAGGGTCAAAATGGGTACTAAAGCAGCCGAAGCATGCGGGTCCAGCACCGTTAGACAGCTTGAAAGCAGTGATGCGAATTGTCGTAGGGGGGCTCAGCCGTACCAGTAAGCTAACCATTACCTGGCTAAGTATGTAAATGAGGCGAAGCCGTTAATATTGGCTATTGCTTTTATCAAGTCCCGATTCGAATTGAACAGCCCTCGTAGCGATCAATTTTACTAAGGGAAATGTCGGAAACTCGATCAAAGCAATACCGTGACAAGCAATATGACCTGGTACTTGAGTCCCAAAAGCAGGGCTTTATCAAAGCATATCTACTGACAGAAAAATTGCGTAATTTAAGAGGAGTAACCGTCCATTTGGGAGTAGGGATGTCGACAGCGTTGAGATTTCCTCACCTAGACGGGCTCTGATTTGACGTCATCAATCTCCAGCTGCTCACCGTTGCGAAGTACTGTCACCGAAAAGCTCTCCTGCTCCTTAATAATTTCCGCAACTTCATTCGCGTTAATTATCTTGGTGCCATTAATGGCGATGATCACATCTCCGGGCCTCAGGTCGGCTCTGAAATTTGACAAGACCAATTTGATAACACCCAAAACCGATGTATAAAAACCCAAGACCTTTGGGTGTGTCTAAGACTGGTTTCTGATAACAAAATCAAAGACTGAAGATTGCTAAGCTTTGATAGAATGTCTCTGGGATAGTAAACAATTGGAAATAAATTCCTGCCATGCGATATCACCATCAGTGCAACGCAGGAAAGAAAGCATAACAGAAGTACATCGAGTGAACCCTCGAAGGACTACCTTTCAGCCGGAGAATTACGAATAACACCCTGAATGTAGACACCTGTGCAGTGAGCCCTATCGACACCACTACCAGCACGCAGATGGCCCAGTGATATCAACTCGGCGACCAACTCGGGTGTGAGAGTTCGCATCACCAGGCCTAAGTAGCGGGTCTGTCTCTTTCCTGATTCGACAATAACAGAGGCGGCATCCCGCCCCATTGCTGTCTCGTCGTTACCGCTGCCAAACCACTGCCACGACTTTGACCGGCGCGGCTGTGGCGACGGCGATAGAGAGCGCTCTGAGGCACTACGAGAGCGGCCTTGGCGCCGTTGCTCCTCCTCCGCCGCGAGTGCCTCCTTCGCCGTAGCTAAGAAGCGATGCACCTGGTCGATAGGGATGGCGAAACTCAGGCCCGTATCTGCTATCATCGTATTCACTCCGATCGCCTCACCGTAGAGGCTCACCAGTGGACCACCCGAATTGCCAAACTACAGCACAACACCACATAGAATAATTTTATTGCTGAGGTACAACATACTGTTTACTATACTTGCACACTAGACTACACGATCCCTTGAGTTCCAATGGGTTTCAGTCATCATTGATGCCGTAGCAATCCACTCACATCGCTTCTGTTAACAGTCCATGAACTCTTCTATCTATTCACAGTAGATGTAAACTAACCGTGATAATGGCGTCGGTTTGGATGTACTTGAGACCGGTGCGGTTGCCCAAATCCCTATCAACAGCTGAGACGACACCTGCGGTGACAGTGTTGGAGAGCGACAATGGACTCCCCAGGGCGATAACGAAATCTCCCGGTCGAATAGCCTGCTCTCCGGATGCCAGTTTAAGCACTGGAAGCTTTGCCAGCGTCTCAGTATCGGCCAAAATCTAGAATGATGAAAAGGTAACAATTCATGCTTCAAATCAGCCACTGACAGCCGAGAAGCCATGGTTATACCCCAAGCAGTGAGCATTACATATTTACAGCACGTTGTCCTAGAGGAGAAATTAAGCCCTAAACCAAATTTAATTCACTCAAGAAAGCGGAAGACACTTGATTGAGAAAAACTATAGGTTAATCATTTAATATATGAAACACATTGATGTTTCAGGATTCCATCTGGGAACATACGTCTAACACCAGTAATCCTTGTAGGAAAGAAACTTGAATTATCCGTCTAGCCAGCGACTTGAAAATGCTGTAAAGCACTCTAGCCAGAGTAAAGCAGTTGTTCAGTTATGATGCGGCTGAAAAGGCACGCTTTACCTGAATAAGCGCCAAATCCGAGTTTACATCGAGAGCGAGAACCCTGGCCCCGAATTCTTGCCCACTGGGAGTAGAAACCTTCAAGGCTTGCTTGTAGCCCACGACATGGGCGTTTGTAATAACCAGACCGGTATTGTCGACAATAAAACCCGAGCCTGTGGAGGCGTGTACTTGGAATAAGTGCCTAGTCGCAGAGATGCAATAAAATAATGCAGATAGTTGGAAGAGAATGGGTGTCGATACTCAAATGCAAATAAGTAGAATGCGCTACCCAACGGCGGTGATCGAGACTACTGCAGGGGAGACCTCTTCAACAACCTTGGAAAGTATGTTGAGGGACCTGATTGCGGCCAGGCGTTCAGGCGACAGGTCGGTTGCACAGATCACCGTGGAGAAAAGACCCAGACTGCTTTTGTTGCTGGCATCGTCGTGATCATCCTCACTGGCGTCATTTTGGCGAGTAAAAGCGATCAAGGGGACAGAAAGGGCGAGACAGGGCAAGAAATTCCACTTGGACCGTTTGTGCTGCGAGTGCCTATAGGAGCAGTGGTAGCGGAAGGCGTCGTCATGATGGAACTGAGAGGTAGCAGCAATCCCTCGCCACCTGGGTGGCGATACCCAAGACGTGCGAAGTATTTTGACCCAAAAGGACTTTAAAAGGGATGATGTAGTTAGTTACAAAATGGAAGAAAATAGATTGCAATAAGACCCATTTTTATCCATCACTAGTTGCAGTCAGTGAAAATGTGCGCCGAAACACGGCAAGACGTTCAGTTGTGTACACAACACTCGGAAACTTGATAGAGTAAAGCATCCTTTAATTCGGCGTCAAACAATGGGCCCGTCTGAAGCACACACAAAGCAGTTAGTAAGAGAGAAAAAAGGAGGCTCATTGGGGACGCACATTTGTTTATTGATTAAAAAAGCGGCTGTATTGCTAAGGTAGCAATTGAATAACATACACATATATACGTACACACGTGGAGGGAAGAGATTAAGACGATATTAGAAGGAAAGTAGAGGATGAGTGTTCCAGGAAAGTATCAGGAGGTAAATATACAAAGTGGATACAATTTATACAGAGTAGAGAGACACAGGGAGGCCAGGTGGAGAAGCGAGCGAGTTAGGGAGGTTTCTTATCGAAGGCGTCAAGCTCGGCTCGAATCTTCTGGCGTTCCTTGAGTGTCTTCCAGGCAAAATCCCGATCTCGCTTCAGTGCTGAGCGCTTTTGCACTTTGTAGCTCTCCAGCTTGTTGTACGCCTCAATGACCTGGATGAATAATGGTAGTGATAGTGATAGGTTAAAAACCGACAACCGCACCTGTAGCAGGTGGATGTTTAGGGAGGCATTAGTGACTTGCGTAAGTATCACACTACACAGCATTTGGAGCGCACTATTGGCACAAGCATCGCTTTTATACAACCGCAGGTTCTGTATCAAACTGTAAATGGATGGCCTAAAAGTCATGTGCAAAATGCGACATTTCACGGGTCCAAGCATGAGAAGCAATCGGCCTAAACAACTGCAAAACTTGCGTTGCATACGAGTGAGAACTCGTGAGTTAGCAAAGGCATGTTGGATGCTGAAATTTCTCATACACTCACGAGACACAAATTCTAACAGTAGTCCTAAAGTGAATTAATTTTCGAGGAAAATAGAAATGAGTAAAATGAATTTGCTAAGAAGTTAGCTCATTTTTGAGTGAAAAAGGAAAATAGACTACTGCGCGGCGATGACTAGAATGACCAAACAGCATACTGGCAAAACAGCAGACAAAGGATACATAAAATAAAGACAAACACTTTAAAGCACACGAATGAAATTAAAATACGGGAAGCTTTGCTTGACCGGAATGAGCCGCTTAAAACTGAGCCAACAAGAGAGCAGTAGATGCGATAAAGCACATGAATAATGGATTCTGGTACTTAAATGGGAAACGGGCATTGCCCACCTAGCAGTGGACATATTTTGAGCAAATGTCGGAGTTTCAGGTGGGGAAGGAATTGCATAAAAACAAACAAAGACGAAGGATGCATTGCCACATGATGAAACACAACCAAATTTCCAATCAACAGAAGAAAAGTACGAAATCAAATAACAATTAAAAGGCAAAGTTCTTGAAAAAAGCTAAAAGTAGAGTATGAACACGTGCATACAAGTACGGACGCAGAGAGGATATTACCCAGTGTTGATTACTAAATACCCGCTGGGGGCTGACCAAGCTCGACTACTCGCGGTCCCAACCGAATAACAAAGAAGATAAGGACTCCAGATCAGAGAGCTTTACTATGTCATTTCGGAACTCAATGAACGACTACAACCATCACGTAGTAATAACTAGTAAACGATCCTGATAGGAGTGGATGAATCGGTCCACATAAAGTGCACTAACACGGAGGAGTCATTACCCAAAAAGAGTAAATGAGAAAGTCTTATTCGGATTCACTGAAAATAGCGAATTTGGCGTAAAAGAGGAAAATTTACAACTTCAAAAATATAAACGCTCAAACTGTTTGTATTTGTAAACACCGCCACCAAGGTCAGTTACAAGAGTGGCAAAGGTGACTGAAGAAGAAATGCATGCAATTTGAATGCTTGCTTAACCACCCATTCAAAGCATAATGTTAACCAATCACTATCCCTATGGACTAAAATAATAGTGGTAAAATATGTTGGGCTTCTCTCTATTATACGGCTAGAATGGGTCGCTCAGAAAGTTTACCCAAACATTGATGGGGGAGGTCAATAATTCGAGCAGAAGGTAGTGGTTGTTCATAGAATGTTTCGGCGACTAACAACGTACATCGGCATCAGCGATAGCGAGGCGTCGTTGAATCTCCTGCCGCTGTAGATCTCTCCGCGCTGCCTGAATAAGTCGATGGAGGATGTTGTGGTTCGCCGCACATACTAGACGCAACTCACGTTGGCGCCGCAGCAGGGCGAGAGTCAGCTGGTCGGTACTGCTACCGGCACTCGCACCCACCGCCTCCACTCCGTTGGTGGTGGTCAAATTGAGCAGACAACTCGAGAGATCGTCGTCCGTGTCCTCGAGGTGGGGAAGAATGTTAGAGAACCAATCACCACCTTCACTCCTTTTCACGTTACCGTTGCAAGTCGTAACGCCTCGAGGCGAGCACTTTTGTGGCGCCACATCTTCCTCCAACTTGACCAGAGATGCGGAAGAGCCTGGACAAGAGCTCATCTAGATCGAGAAAGGAACTCAGTCTAACCACCGCAATGTATTTACACACAACAGGGAAACGGATGACGGGGACGGCAGAAAACGAAACAAGGTAGTCGAAGGGAAATAAGTGATAATTCAGAAACAGCAATGCTCTAGTGGTTGCGTTCACATTATTTACTTATATTACAATGCCCACAACATCCCTTTCATCAGCATGGAGCCTGAGCGATGCATCGAAAGCGCAATGCCTTCCAATCAGAAAGTGCGTGACCTTGGGTCGAAAGAGAGGAGCCATAGCTGACAGTTGCTAACATGAAAGCCAATTACCTCTAGAACCCTGAGCAGATGATGGAGCACACAAATAGGGAAAAGTTTCGCAATATTACAAGAATATGGCAAATGACATGTCATAATAACTGAAATCTGGTGTCACCGCATAAATTTCAAAGGACATAATGCTCAAGTGTAATACAGCTTGTGACAAAGGAAATTTTAATAGAAAAAGGCACCGTTGAAACCGTTCACGTTAGTAGACGATAAAATTAGGTTCTAGAATCTACACTAACAAAAAAAATAATCGGTGGAAAAGATGTCCCTTACATAGTTTACAGTGAAAGAATTTTTCTCGCTGGTGCAATTGTTGAGCACCTTAACAGGTTCCAACTGGCAAGAAGTGAGGGGTTCAAAAGTCGCCTCGGGGTCAGCACTCGGACCACTGCCACTATCGGTGGCAGAGGGTGGAGGAGGCGGTCGAAGTGGTGCGACTGCATCAGTGGCGTCCGAGATGCTACCGCCCATCTCCGTGTCCGCAGGACTCGTGTCCTCATTACCACCACTCGATGGGTCCGTCGTTATCGTTGGCGTGGTCGACATTTCTTCGCCATTCTCTGCCTGATTCCTTGACGACGCACGGCTGTTTGACTGCGAGGTAGAAAACTTTTGTCCCTAACAGGAGAAAACTACCTTTTAATTACGTATATTCAACACTATATCGACGTCAGCTGCCTTGTTCACTCATCGATAGCCCTTCATGCCAGCAGAATGAGGCTCTATTAATGCCCCCTATGCTGCATATCTCCCAATTTTTTCACGCTTATAATAAAACTGTGTCTACATATGCTTGCTTTACAACATCTTCAGGAGTAACTCAGAAGAGACGCTGCAATAGGTTAACTTGGAATTTAAGTGCAAATTCCAAGCTTTATCCCTATCAACTCAGTGTATGCATTATGAACAGAAAATATGGCTGCAATCTCTGCAGTTCCTTAAACACCTCGTTCCTACATCCCCAAAAAGCCATTCTGTAAATCAGACAACTGTGAATTGCAGCGTTGCCATATTTCCATCAAGAGCGATTAACAAGTTTTAAGTCTGCCCACTTTCCTATGCTAGTAAGCATTCGCTTCGTGTGGAAAAAATCCGCACTTGGACGATAGCGGCTGTTTCCGGGTTTCGAAAAGCCTTACATTTTGGCAGTAAGTGATTAGCACCATCCTTACACAAAGTTTCGTAAGCAAGTCATGAACTGTAGCACGTTGCATATTCAAATGAAATAACCAGGTATTGGATTCCTACCCAATTTGTAGTAATGGAGGGCGCCAATAGTCAAATTGATATCTCCAAAAAGACCTTTAAAGCGCATTTTAAGGATCAAAAAACAGAGTGGTTACTTTGACGGAAATAATAGGTCAAAAACATTGCCTTTCACCAAATCGACTTGACCATAATGAAATCGTATAAATGATTTCCTAAAACTATTCCTGAGGTAAACAGATATTTAACAAGCACCGGGAAATGTAGGTGCACAGATGCAAATGGTCGAGATTCCAAGGGCTAAAAGAAGCTAGAAACATACATCCACCGGATCGGGTTGGCCGCGCCGGTTAAATCGAGGTGAAGGTGGAGCAGGAAACTCCTTGGGGGAATGATCGAGTCCGTTCAAGAGTGAATCCTTGCAATCCACTGCCGTCGTCAACTCGTGATTTTGTATTTCAGAGGCTGCGAGTAAGTGCAGAAATAGAGGAGTAAATATGGAACTTACAGTCAAAGGCGACTCTAAATAAGAGGAAGGGAGTACGCACACCTAGAATACCAACTGTACAGGTACTCAATTTCGATGGTATTTTATATCGGTAACAAGGACTAAAGGTACGACGGACGATGGGGCCAAAAAAGGCATTTTCGTAAGTTGTTGGGCTGAAATTGCCCTCCCCATAAGTTGGAAGAAGTGTTCTAACGAAATCGGAAAATAAACCAGTCAGTCAATTATGCGAGGCCTGGTAAAACGAAAGATAGTGGAATGTGATGCATGACATCTGGTTGGAAATAACTGGTTCCTCGCTATGGGCCAATCTCAGGCACTAAGGCAGTTGGTCTTTCTCACATCGTTACACCCGATAGGTTGCCACTGACTGACAAATTCCCATGAAGCAATAGTAGACAGTCCCAGGCAGAAGACTATGGTCTCCTGGTTTTGCGGAGACTTGGCCGAGGATTATAGAACAGCTGTCCATTTTTATTTAGCCAATGAGGCAAACGAGTCCATACTATTATCACAAATAGTCAATCACCAACTCTACCTGTGGTAGTAACCACACCCGTGCTTATGCCAAGACAGTGGAAACTGGATTCATGAGGGCTACTTCTCGGGCACTACTTTAATTCGAACTGACCAATTAACTTCAAACGGGCCTCAGCAAATTTTGCCGTCAATTTTGATGATAAAGTTTATCATTTACCTTGACTTCTATTCCAGTCTTCCAAATGACCGACTCATTTAGCTGGGAATAAACTTCGCAGACTACTAACGATTTACGTGCTTGGTACAAGAATTGAAAACACCACGCAGACATTTGTGGTAAGAGGTTCATATTCGAAAAAGCAAAGAAGCGATGCTTAAAAAATCTTCAAAATATCCTAGCCATAACTTTAAAAGGGGAATTATATCGGGGTGATGGGACTTCACAGCAAAAAACCCAGGAGTAATTAGATTGAAGCACAGCCGAAAACTGAGGAACTCAACATGTACGACGATTGAAGGCATCGTTTCAATTAAAAAATGAAGGTCTTGCAAAAAAAGTGTTGAGATAGAGGAAACAAACTCACGGATAGGTAAAGCATTTGACTTCTCAGACAGGTGAATAAGCGGTTTTTCGGGACGGTGGGAGAGGTGGTTGAGGTAGAGGGTCAATGGAAACAATCCCAATTCCTCACTAGCTTGGCTGATTTTCTTCTCTACACGAAAGGACGAACTGACCTGCAGTTGACGTGCCAGATTCTTCAAAGGTTGGCTGCACACACTTGTCAAGTCACTTCTGCTATTCTGTGTAATTAGGAACGCAGAGGCTTCCTCGGTCTCGCAGGCTTTGGACTTCGCTGTAACTGTGACGCGAGATCAGAATAAAAAAGAATGTTAAGCATGTTTTTTAGGCTGTCCGTGAAGCCAAGTTCCTAAACTTAAGCTGTGGAGGTTAAAAACAAAACGATCTTTCAATGTAATATGCAAGCACGTACGACTTTCTAGGCCCCTACGATTCGGTTACGACGTACTACGTCAACTAAAATACCACTCCCTCAGGCCCCCAATACGTCTGTAATAAAGTTACTTCCAGTGTTAAACCTCAGTCTCTTCAAGGATGGCTCAGGTGTGCAATGGTGACGGTGTTGGCAAATTCAATCTAAAAAGGGGGAGCCCTACTTTCTCTAGCTGCTGATAATAAGTAAATCTACACTCAGAAAAACTACTGGAACTGGGTCAACGCTGGCAAACACACCAACCTCGAATTTTGAGTGATTGCGAGTAGTAAAGCAAGAAGAGATGTGAATGAAATAAAATAAATAAAATAAAGAGCGTGATTCAAAGATTCGATACATCAACATGGTGGGGGAAGCTGAAAATAACCCAGATAGGGGGCTGGTCAGCACTGAAATGAAAGCAGCGAAAAAGAAAAGTGGGTAGAGAATTATGCTCCATGAGGCTACTTCGCATTTTATTGCTTGATTTTGCTTTACTCAAGCAGTTCTATGAAAAGTAATGGAAGGGCATCCAGGCTCCAGAAAACTAAGGTAGATAAAACTACGGGACGGTGCGCATTTAAGTCTATTTAAGGGCTTGTAAGTCTTTAAGTAATGGAAAATTATTGTACGGTCTTTGCCCCTACAATTTAACCAGCTACACCATGCACTAGACTAGATTATGAAGGCCAAAGCAGAATAGTTATCACTTAAAGTCCCCAAGACTACTCTCAAAAGGAGTATATGTAACAGAACGCTTTTTACTATACATTAATTTAAGTGGAGTCTTCGATTTCTCCATAACAGCATTGTATTCGTTCAAACTACCCAAAACATCAGTTATGCCAGACCTATTTCAACGAGACACTCAGCGGTTAGTCAGGTGCTATAGAGAAACTAACAGCAAAAAGTGCCTCATACATTCTTGAGCCATATGTGCCACAGCTCCATGAAGGACGGAGGATACGTTGTCCTTGTATAGGTCCTTCTCCAGAGAACACAGTAAATGCTCAACAGACGAAGAAGACGATGGCCTTATTTCCCTGGGCATAGAGATGGACAAAGGCGACAATTAAAATAATACGACTGCAGTCTACTAACTCGGAAAAAATAACTAACTTGAGCTGGGAATCGACATGACGTGCAAGAGAGATCATTTCCGAGGCGGCTTTGAAGGCCTCGGAGAAATGATCTTGGCTGGGGGGTGCGCCAGGGCAATCTGAATTGGGGACTTCGGATTTTGTGAGATCCCTCCGTAGCCGCTTCGGCGCTGTGAACACAAGTAGGTTGTTAAACAGTAGCAAGTAGCTGATAACACGGCATTTGATATTACGACTTACAAATATATTCGGCTACCGCAGAATCTCTGAGAGATTTGGACTGTGGAAGCAGGAAGTACTTCGACGTAGTCGCTTCCTCCACGTAGGACTTGAGGATGCCTTCAAGATAGGAGATGTTGGATTCGGTGATGTCTGCACAGTACGGCTCCATCAGAGCCCAAAACCGATTAGGAATATCATGACTGAAGGGATGAATAATTGGTTTTGATTTTCAAAGTACACTACGAGTCTGCAGCGGCAGATCTACGAAGCAAACGAAACTTACGGAGATGTTACTGGACCAAGACGGCCCGTAGTCGGTGATTTGGAAGTCTAGAGGAAATTATCACGATTTTTCCATAATTTTAAAAATAAGAATACATATAACTAAAGACAGACAAGTTAGGAAGTAAATAGTGAACAATCTCTAAGGCTCTTGCCCCTACCATAAATACAAATTCTCCGAGCAGGTATCCAGTGAACAAGATATCAGCATTAAAAAAAGGACAAAACAAACTTTCCAAGCGTTCAAATTCAGAAAAGGAACTGCGTTGCAGCTATTAGCATTTAAGGACAATATGCATCCGTTGAAAAATATTAGTTCCAACCGAAATCAGCAGCTTTAACTGAAAACTGACGTAAACTACAAAAAGAGTAAGAAACAACTTTTAATATGGTGGTTAGTCGTTTAACCAGCAAAAATGCGAACAAAAGCGCCCCTGAGACCATGTACAAAAACCCGACAGAAGCAAGACCTGAATACAATCCCTAGGGCCAAAGTAAAAGAGATGGTGATGTACTAAATAACGTACGTATTTGGATTTGTTTTTTTTGTCTGGCAAAACCTCTCTACTTTCTCCTTTTTGCTGTGATGGCTGCTGTAGCTGTTGCTTTCTCTGGGAGGAGAAGATGAGACTTAGGGGATTGTCGGGATTGGGAGTAACCACAAGCGAGTCGTCCTCGTTAGTAGGGGTGATTTTCCGTGCGGATGCATCTGCAGAGGTGGAAGCCATTTCGGAGGGATGCTGCGGTCGGTTGTCAGGATCGGGCTCCAGCAGTCCGAGATTCCGCAAAATTGGCGTCGGAATGGACACCCCACGCAGATAGTGAGAGATGCATGCCATGCGTTGGGTAGTTGCCGCCAATAAACGCTCCACCTCTGTTTGAAGACATGGCAGGTCAAGTAGATTGAAATTCCCCGTCTCCACTACTACAATAATCAGAAGCAAGGCCAAGTTACCCTTCTCAGACTTAGTAAATGACACAAAAAGTAACAAACTATTTACTCTGGTGGAGTGTAGGACATTGGATTGGAATATCAACTGCAGAATGTTCTATGGCATAAGCTGCAGTTTCATGTAGGGTTTTCTTGACCCTGGAACCCGACCTCATGGTACTAAGAACGAGAGCAATCGTATAATGCAAAATGAATGGTATGTTAATGGAAGCATTAAATAAAATTAACACTTAAACCTTCATACCGGAAAACAAACGGAAAGGCACATGAAGCACCATGTGAGAGCATAGAGAACCAAGAAACGACAAACTAAACTTTTGCAAGTTGCTCGTGTCAAAAGAATTTAGGAAACAAAAAAACCAAGTGGGCAAATAAGAATGAACGCACAATTTTCAAAATAATGAATTAGCCATATACTACATAGCATGGAGCCGACCAGTAGTAAGACAGAGAAAACAACACCAAAATCCGACCACACGTTAGGCCCTCGGTACTTTGCTAGAAGAACAGGAATAAAACAATCTAAAAGAAGAAATAAACAAGATTTTAACAAATTGTTCAAAATTTTTATCATCCGGAGATATGCACACGACTCTGCATGATTAAACTAACGGTAGACCACTAAATCGGCACTACTTGATTGGTGGAAATTCCCACGTTTACTTGAGACAACAACTAGTAGTTTAGGCTTTTTTGCCCACATTGTGACATAAAAACACCAATGTTAAAGCTTTGCTAAGTTTTTTTGGTAACAAAACGGTGTAGTTGTCCTTATCATAAAGTGTGCCTCAGAGTAAAGGAGAATGCAATTTAAGATACCGTTGTAGCACTTTTAAAGAATTTAGGCGGGGATTCTTTCTTTGGGCAGAGCATCCTAATTTCCCTTTTGGTAATGAAAGGTAGAATGCATGCCATGACATCATGGTTCAGCGATAATAGGCCCCGCAGTTGCGATCACACTCCGCCCACCCACCTACCTCCTGGCCTACACATGTGGAACGAAAAAGAGTGGGTTAAAGGAGAGACCCCATAGCAGAAAAACGCTGTGAAAGTTCGGAAGCTATCAAATTTTAAAGGATTTAGGGACCAGTTTTCCCCTTTTAGGCTTGAGCTCTCCAGTCCTACACGCGGTTGGCGTTGACTCAACGTTCGTCTCCCAATCGGTGTATTTAAACAAACTGTAATACGATGGTTGTTCGTCTCTCGGAGCCACTTTTGCCTTGGCCCATATACCGCGCCGGGTCGGCTGACCTTCAGACCATGCCAGTAGCCTAAATACCTTCTTTGTGGTGAACACATCTGTTCTGCGCGATTATTTAGCGTTCTGAAACTCCCTGAAGACGAATGGAGACACAATACTTGAGCAGAATTTATATTCAGCGCCGTGGGGCCCTACAGAACGTGTATGACAGTTGCATTATTTGTATTATTCCATTGATTGAATGAGTGTAATTATTAAAATAATGCTTGCATCCCAATAGGCGTACGTGCTAAAGGCATTGGGAATTGCTTCCTTTCATTCATCTCGTTTAAAACTTTTGACAATATATCGGACTTAATAGTTCACGCTACATTTGTACAATTTGCCATAAATTGTACATCTTTTAAGCCACTTAAATTGACTCTTGTGTAAATGACTAGGGTTTTGTGAATCTTTTTGTCTAATCAGATATTGGCGCAGGAGGTTTTCATGCTTTGTAGTCCCCATAACATGATAAGCAACTTGTTCAGGCGACCTGTCATCCGCTACAAAAAAGTGTTATTGTCTGCGTATTAATAAGTACAGATGTAATAAGTGTCAGCATTACGATCCCTAGATTTCAGTCGAATTGTTTTCGTACGATCTGTTTTACATTAATAATGATACGGGAACTCAAATGAAGCCGATCATTGACCGTGCACAACAAACAACGTATTTCACGTATGGTTCATTGCAAGAGCATGGGCTTTAAAACATTGCCTACTAATTTATTTAGTTTTTTCATACAAATCATCCTAATCTTTTTTTATCTGTCGCGCTTGAACGTCAGTGCATCCTGTTTGATTTAGCACTGTAAATTTCCGGAAAGAAGTAAATAGCTATATGACTTATTTTGTATGCAGTTCAAAATGAGGGCTGGAAAGTGGTGCTGTTGTCACCGTTTAGGTGGGAGACGCATCTGTTTGAGTCTTTGTACGCCTGAGTACACATCTGGGCCTCGGACCACTGTAGAAAAAGAGTCATCGCATTCGCTTTACTCACAGTAGACTTTTTGATGTATATTCACTTGTTTCTGCACCACTTGGGATTCCCCTAGATTAAAGGTAAAAATTAAGAACGAGACGCGATTACACTCGTTGCTATTTGACCTGTCCAACGGAGTAAAACGCGTTTAAGCTTTATTTCCTCATTAAACGCCAGTAACACAACGTGGAAAATTTATTAACGATACCGCTTATATTTACGGGAATTAAAAATGGCTCAATTTTTCTGTAAAACATTTGGCAACATGTAGCACACCAACGCCAGTGTAGCTCGCTTTAGTAATAATTTCGCACAAATAAAACGCTGTTACACTAACGCGCCGCTTCAAAAACCTTTTTTCTCTTCGCTAACTGCAGGATCTTTCTCGAAAAAGAGAGGCGTGGTAATATTAAGACAAAAGATGTGTTCTCAATTTACAGAATGGCTGTGGGATTTCTGGCATGGAATGGAGACCATGCAGCCCCGGGGAAGCGCGAAGACAGCGCCTTGAGTGCTCTGAGCGCGGACAAACCGAAGAGTTAAACAAATAATCGAAGAATCACTTAGTCCCCTCTTGTGGTTAAGCGCCATCCCCAGTGAACCCCTCGGTCGATCTCTCGCGTCGGGCATCACAATCCAGTCGGTACTGCATGTCAAACGCCCACGAACCAACCGCGCCATTCATCGAATTTGCGTGAACCTGAGTTGATAGTTGACTACAACGTCAGTGATCCCTCGTGGAAATTTTGCTGGATCTGGGACTTCGCCCTGCTTGGGAACTGCATTGAGGGGAAGAGGAAATGTGCTGGCCATCAAGTATGTCCACCTCTAATCATAAGAACATTGGCCTAAAGACAGTCATTTAGTAAAGGACGGCATTTAGAATAGTCTCGCGTGGATACGGTTTTGCGTGTTCCGTTTGTGCCACTTTGCTTCCACTTCAATGCTGTCCTGCCATATCTATCTATGTGGCTTTTCTCAAGCTATTAGAGGGGTGGAGGAGGTATCACTTACTCACTTCATTAACATCTTTAAACAGGCCGCGTACACAGCCTCATAACTAACTGACCAGGTATTCACTGCTAGGATCGCTTCAGCCATTGATAGCATTCCAGCAGAATACAGGACAGGAGCACTTACCGAAGGTGGAAGTAATTATCAACCCTTCTACCAGGGGTAGTTCCAGATTCTCCCATCTGCAGCATCTGTACTTCTTCTGTCAAGTTGATGTTTATCATTCAGTTATGGGAATCAGGGTGGCTGCCCGTCAGGATCGAATTCGTATTCCGCTGCCACCACTGTAGCCCCCCCCCCCCACGAGACTTCCCAAAAAGCGAAAGAAGCTCTAACAGTTGGGCAGAATATGTTTTGCCCAACTGGCATTTCATGGAGGACATGCCGCCCAGCGGAAGTACAACCGCAGAGCCTTAAGTGTCTGCGTTATCAAAACAAAGATTTAAACAAATAAGCAACATTACATAAACAACTGATGATTTGCTGTTTTTATCAATCTAAAACTGGTCCCTTTATTCTTCATGGGCAGTGCTTCTGGTAATAGCACTTCAACCCTTCTGAAACGGGTAATTTTAAAACCAAAGCATCTATTGCACTGAAGTTCTAAATTTTGTAATGAGTGCCTAAATAAATGGGAGATTTTAGAGAAAAGTGGCTCAGGCAGTTGCATGCATTCCACCCTACTGTTCCGATAGATAGGAATTGGCGTATTAAAAACTCAACAAAATTTATTCAAATGGGCCTTGATACGCTGAATCACAGTGATGCATTCATTAATGTTATCGCAGCATCTATAGCCCACAAAGCCAAAAACGGGTGTAGTAGAAAAGAAAAGTTACCATTTTCAGGTGGGACTTTTGCACTCCGGCAAAGACTGTAGAAGTGGCTTCGAAACCGCTGAGTGAGGTTAACAACGTTGTTGTAATAAAATCGGAGGTATCACTTCACCGAAAGACGATGCCTTGTTAAAAGTGTGCATGAGGTCGGACAGTTCGATAAGAGGTCAAACATTCATGTCAGGAAACATCAGATAAAATGAACTTGTACTTTACCACGATTGAACTTGTAGAGATGTCCAACGGACATTTACGAGATCCAAACACTTTGCATAAGCGTGATCACATCACCGGTGCGCAGATCCATTCCTCCTTCGCGATAGGCGGGCAGAAATGGCCAGACTGGGCATCCAAAGGCACTTCGGAGAGTGGCAGTGTATAGGCTACGCCGATTGGCAGCAATTGCGACAGAAGTGACAAATTATCCCCTTAGAGTTTTTTGTCTTCCGAGAAGTAGAGCCAATTATCTACACAGCAATTTAAATGCTTGCTTGAGATGTAATTCGAAGAACTCATCTTTTCAGGGCATTTGGACCCCATTCCTCATTACATCGCCTTTACCTTTACCAAGGGTGGCACCACCAATGTTGTTGTGACTTTTGGCATTGTTTGTATTTTTATTTAGCCCATGCGCGAGTTGGACTGCAGGGCGAACAACTAAAAGAATTTAAGCTGATTAATTTCCCTATAATGCAAATTTAACTTACAACTTACAACTGAACCGAATTTTAGTAAGTTATCACTACGAGCCCTCCAATTCATAAATCAAGTGTTCAGTAGCGCCGCCAGTACCCTTCTAAAGGCAAAGGAAGTTATAATGTTCAGCCAAATTGCGTATCACCAACGCGTATTTGGGGAATGGGTAGCTACCAGGATGGTACGGAGGCCGTGTCGTCTAACAAAATGCAAATAAGGGAACGCAAGGGCGACAGAACACAAAACGAAGAGATCAACAAGTAATCCAAGTTCTAGACAGACCTCCATCCCTTTTCAGCATCGTCCTCAGCGCAACGCAGTTGGCGCTGTAGGGTAAGCAGCTACGAGCCGACCGCGCCAGTCATCAAAATTGTGCGTAATAGAA